GCACTGGCAATAAAGCTTTCTGATTCTGAATTCTTCTTAAAACCAAAGAGTGACAGGAAATGGGTGGATGGGTTTGGGGGTTTACACGTTTGGAGTGTTGATAGAGGCCAATGGAGGCCCACATGGCAGACCACAACAATCCAAAAGGTGAGTTTTGTATTATCTGCCCCTTTAAAAAACAAATACTGAATGGAGCCAGTAACAAAGTTTATCTGCTGTTTGAATGTAACCTGGAAAACACTCAGGTACTTACACCACCTTAAACTTTACAGGACATGATTATTTACAAAGGAAATTAGCTGCTGGGCTAACTAACTCTTCTGTGAGAACCTGAATAATAATTTTACCAGAATAACCATGAAATGCTGTTAGATGTTTGATACTGAATTAAATTTTAAACATGACTTGCTCCCCTGCGACTGGTTGTTGTAGCTTGTTGGTCAGATCTGTTTCTATAAATAATGGTTCACAACTTTTCAACAAATCTCACTTCATAGGATCTTAACCATCCCTACGAAACCCCTCTGGTTGGTTAAACCCATCAGGGTTGTAACATGAACAAACATGACAGAGCTTGGGGGAGCTGAAGATCTTACAGCTCCCCTGGTGGCCAAACGAGTCCCCTCCCCTCCACGTTTACAGATACATCCTAGACCATAAATCTACCGCGTTTACGTCTGCTTACCTCTTTTCCCAGGTTTGTTTGTGTTTACATAAACAAACTCTGTGTGTATGATTCCACCCTGAACATAACTTGGACGTAGCAAATGTATGGATGGATGATCTCCACCCACTTTTTTCTCCTTCCACCAGATGAATGTGTACATTCATTTATTTATTTGTTTTGAGGATAAACACTTTCTAAATCTAAAAGAACAGATTCCTAAGATCAGCTGTTTCTTGTCATTTCCAACTTCTCTCACTGACAACTTACCAAAGAGCCATGCGGTCTTTAGGGTAGTTGAGGCGCTCAATAGTTCCCAGGAAATAAGGCAACGAGTGTTCGGAGTTTCTGCAGATGAGGGCGAGAAGAACCCGGGGAGCGAGGAGAGGAGACTCGGGGCTCCAGCGCTCCTCAGCGAAGTAAGCCCGGCCAGGAGAGGAGCAGAGCAGGAGCAGGAGCAGGGGGAGCTGGGCAGCGCGGAGCACGGACACCTCCTGCATGGCGACGCGCTTATGGATCATTACGCTGCAACCGTGGCTCTCTGGGAACTACAGGAGAAAGGCTGGCCACTTTCCGAGGCCATCACAAATAATCCAGAGGGGAGAGTGAGCATGAAACGGCACGGAGCTTTAAAGGGGTGGGATCTGATCTTAAAGGGGATGGACCAAAGCCTCACACACCAGAGCACAACAGTTAGTTTATTATTTCATAGAGGTTTGGTTATTGATACAAAGATTTTTTCTTTTAAATTATTTATTAATTTACACACCATCGCTTCACAGAACACAAACAGGCAGCAGTATGGTGACACGGCGGCATCTTAGGTTACTGTTTTATAAAAGGAAACAGATTTAAGGTCTCCATATCCAACATGTGTGTGTGTGTGTGTGTGTGTGTGTCGAATACACAAATGATAATCAGTGTTGCATTAACAAAACTCTGCAGTGAACATAACAAATGTGTGTATTGTAAAGTATGTACCAGGTTATTTTTGACATCTCACCCTGCTCATTGAAAAAATGCACAAACATCCAGAATGTGCTTATTTACAAAGATTATTATGTTTGTTAATTTATCTAATCTGATTCATATTCTCACTGGTGTAGGATTGCCATATGATGCCCTGACACCGGTCGTGCTACAGCTTGGCCCCCGAGCTAAACCTTTCCACCTGGATAGTCAAGGACGCAGCTGCAGAGTCATCAACGAGCCAAAACAGCTCACCGCTGGTCGGTACAACGCGAGCCGCCGGAAACGCTGGGCCTTCTCTACCCTCCAGGACTTCCTGCAAAGAACACTTTGTTGTAACTACAGTATTACATAACGTAGTACTCACTCTGATGTGCACATGAGCATGCTTACTATGGAAGTAATAAACAATTTACGACGCTTTGTGAACTGAGGAGCCACTCGTGTTGTAAAAATAAAATGTGCATTAAATTCTGCATGATTAAAAATAAACCTTCCCTCATTTCATCAGTGAAACCCAAAAACCGTTGAATCTGAATTTTTCATTTTATTTATAACAGCTCAATATTTATCATTACATTGTTTTCTCACACAGGCCCAAGCATGGGTTGTTTTATGTAAGTTAGGCTTCATTATGATTAACAAGCTGAATCATAATAAATATAGGATACATCATAATATAAAAATAGTTTCTATGATTCTAAATCAGTTCCACTAAATCGAAATACTAACTATGTTTAAAAGAATGGTACAAGTTAGAAATGTGACTGTTAAAAACTTCCTGAGTGTTACCTTTAAAACGGGAGCTTTGCTTCCACCTGTAGACACAAACGTTACACAGCGTGCCGAGTTCACTACGGGAAAAGTCAAAGTCACGCGCTGTGGAGGGGGTTTGGGAGAATCACTGATAGGAACCACAATCCTCTTTGTTTCCTAAATATGGGACACGGAAAAATAAAATATTAAAATTTACACGAAAACCACAGCAAATGGAGAAAACAGGCTCTAAGTGGCGACATTTTTGTGAATGTCAACACACACAAGAAAAAAGTGCAAGAATGAACAGTTCTCACCTCTAGGAGAGGGTGATTTGGAAAAAGGGAACATGTGTGACCATCAGGACCCATGCCGAGCAGCAACAGATCAAAGACAGGAAAGTCCTCTCCTGGGAAAGCCTGTGATAGTTGAACATCACTCATCAATACAACAGAAGACATCCCTGACTTTTAATCCACCGTAAAAGCTTGTGATTGATCATCACCTCCTTTAGTTTACGCGTATAATCCTCAGCACACTCGCTCACAGGCAGAGAGGAATCAATGGTTAGGATCCCACTATCTGGGATGTTTGTTTTGGTGAACAAATGACTCTGGAAAGGAAGCAAAGTTATCCAACCCGTTAACTGTCATGAGCACCACCCTTACGTTACAAACACAGGACCCGACATTATACCTTGTAGAGCCCATAGGTGCTCTCAGGGTCATCGAAGGAAACCAGCCGTTCATCGCAGAAGCCAACCAGCCACTTGCTGCAGTCCAGCTCTGGCAGGGCGAGCAGCTCTTTGCTGAGCATGGACACAAGGCTTCCTCCAGAGAGGCCCAGAGAGAACCTGCCCCGGGAGGAGATGGCTCTCTCTGCCCGAGACAGCACCAGATGGGCCAGGGCAGGACCCAGCTCAGCTGAGGAGGGAAAGACCACGACTCTTCTTCCAGCCATGGGAGCACGGTCTGTCACTAAAGAAGAAGCAAAAGGAGAAGATGAATGATTACTAAACAAAAGAAAGTGTTGCAAGCCAGTACGGGTTTGCAACTGCTTATGAGCATTTTAAAATTAAAGCCAATGCCTTCACTTGGAAGATTAGACTGTTATAACTAAATCCGGTTTCTGGTGTATTTAGTTCACAAAATAACGTGAGCGTGTTTCTAATTCTAACAGAAAACCAACAAGAGACGTGTGGTATATAATATAACAAACGAACTAATTTCTCTCCAATAATCATGCGTTTTCTTACCTCGTAGAGAGAAAAAGGAGAGGATTATGTGGATTTTCGGTCGGCAAATTGGTGTTGAATTCGGTGTAGCACTTCCTGAAACAATATTTCATCAGCCAATCACAAGTTTTGGAATGCCGAAATGCATTGTGGTCTCTGAAGTCCCCGACTGCGTAGTGACCTATATGTATGTGGATGGTAGTGACGGAGGTCGCGAAAGTTTGTCCATAAAAGGACCAAAAGGATAAATCAGTATTATTGTTTCCTCCAAAGCAAAAAAAGTTAACGATGCTAAGGTAACACAAACCTTAACAGTTTAATGTCCCGCATTATAAAAACAGGTTATGGTTTTAATGGTTACTCCACACCGCTAGATGGCGATAGCATGTATCTCGAGCAACTTACTTCAGATTCACCGTTAAGCCATGTTCACAGTCCTTTTCGGACCTTCTGGCGAGAACCGAGACGTGTCGACCGTAACAGCTTCTCTGGGTGTATTTTATTTGTTTGTGAGTAAAACAAACCCAAAAACATGTCTTCAGTCTTTTCTTTCCAGGCACAGCTCGTCTCCATCATGGACGCGTTATCTAAAACAGCTATAGTAGAAATAAGCAAACTGGTTGAAATTGAGTCGAAGATGCTGAAAATCGAGATAACCCGGGGTCGGAATGAAATCGCCTCGCTCACAGAGAAACTGCAGCTGATGGAGAAGTTACTTTACATGGCTCAGGGGCGCAATCAGGATGTTGCAGCAGCAGCTTCCTCGGTAGTGAGAGAATCTCAGGAAAACAAAGAGTTTTTGGTGCCTGAGATCACGAAACTCGTCATTAAGAGGTAGGTTTCTGGATTTTTAATGTGTGTACAGCAGGTAGATGTGTTTTTGCACGCTATTGATTCATCTCGTGGATTGCCTTTGTTCTCGACCTCTGGTGTAACTGAAGTGCACTGCATCCTAGCGAAGCACTGTGGGAAAGCACAACTTCCTGTTCTGAGAGGAGCAGTTTGCATCAAAGTGAAGAGCACGCTGCAGCTGAAGTAGGTGTGCAGTAATAATGTTATAACTGTGATATTGCATCACGCACATGTGACTTGATCAGACTTTTTGTGCTGCTCTGATTAAGGAGCAACCTGAGCTGGTCGTGGTTAAAGCAGAGCCACCAGAGTTGGACAGTGGAAACACTGAACAAGACATAACTAGTGAATATAGTGAGTTTATTTTACTCTATTTTGCTGCCTTCTAATAAAAAAAGTTGCGATCAGTCATGTTCACATTAATTTCTGCACACCTTTCTCATATCCAAAGCATAATAGCTCTTACAAACATTGCACTATCTGAACTTTAACATGCTCATCTGCTGTCAACAGGAAAGGAAGCTGTCACAGACACACAGAAGAGTCCAGATGTGATGCAGCACTCCAAACCCATCACAGACAACCAGCAGCCTTTATTCACCAATAGAGTCGCCGCTCTGAGCCCTCAGCAGTCTCTTGGTGAACCAGAGAGAGGAGAAATGAACTGGAATCCACAATTAATTCTTGCACACACGACCCTGCAGGTCGGCAAGTGCATGGCTCAAAATGTAGCCTCCCAAAGTGGTAATGTGCTCAGGAAAATGAAGCCTCACAATTTTAGGAACTCGGCTGCAAAGAGGGTTGGCTGTTTGCAGTGTGGCAAGAGTTTCAGGTGCTTTAGTCAGCTTGAAATTCACCAGAGAAGTCACACGGGTGAAAAGCCGTTCAGATGCATGCTGTGTGGAAAACGATACGCCCAAAAGGGGCACCTGTACACACACCAAAGGACGCACACTGGAGAGAAGCCATATCGATGTCCTATTTGTGGAAAAGGATTCATTCAGAAATGTACCCTTGATATGCATCAGCGCACGCACACTGGAGAAAAACCCTTTGTTTGTGTTAACTGTGGCAAAGGTTTCACAAAGAAATGTAACCTGAAGAAACACCTTGCTGTACATGTAGATTCTAATGTGAGCCGTGAGTCTGCTGCGCCATCATTTGGTGGAATGTTCACAAATGAAACCACATAAGACACCAACCGCTTTTTCATATCATTTGTAAAAAAAAAACCCAATAAACTCATCTTTGATCAGTGTTTGAGTGTGTGTCACTTGACTTAACTGTGTTATCAGCATATAGGAATAAGTAGTTTTGTTAATTTCTGTTATTGTTTTAGATCTAAATACTTTTTTGTGCAAAGTAGACTGAACTCATGCTAGAGTAAAACTAGCTTTTCAGTGAACATTTCCTGAGAAATCCAACGAGGACTCACTGAAAACGGGACCACACTGGTGTTAAATGTTAGTAACCTAAAAAAATGCTTATAGAATAAAATACGAGTTTCTTAGCCTGTCGACAGGCGGATTGGTTCGGCGTCTGCAGTGATGCGGACGCTGAGCCGATCTGTCGTGGGGAAGAGGGAGCTGAGCCAGAAAGCCAGGCTCTCGATTTACCGGTCGATCTACGTCCCAATCCTCACCTATGGTCATGAGCTTTGGGTAATGACCGAAAGAATGAGATCGCGGATACAAGCGGCCGAAATGAGTTTCCTCCGTAGGGTGGCCGGGCTCAGCCTTAGAGATAGGGTGAGGAGCTCGGACATTCGGGAGGGACTCGGAGTAGAACCGCTGCTCCTCCGGATCGAAAGGAGCCAGTTGAGGTGGTTTGGGCATCTGGTCAGGATGCCTCCTGGACGCCTCCCCGGGGAGGTGTTTCGGGCATGTCCTGCCGGCAGAAGGCCCCCGGGTCGACCCAGGACACGTTGGAGAAGTTACATCTCCAATCTGGTCCGGGAACGCCTTGGGGTCCTGCCGGAGGAGCTGGTGGACAAGGCCGGGGAGAGGACGGCCTGGAGCTCCCTAGTTGGGATGCTGCCCCCGCGACCCGGACCCGGATAAGCGGAGGAAGACGACGACGACGACGACGACGACGACGAGTTTCTTAGGCTGTAGTTACTCATAATGCCCACTAGGTGTCAGGAACTATAAAATCTATTCTATGGAAGGTTTTAAAAATACCTTTTATGATATTTTTTCCTGCAAAACTTTTTCTTAACTATTAGTTTTTTTCACATTAGTTTTAGCCACTAAACAAATGTTTAAAACGTGTTTAATATGTGTTAGAAAAGTTATTTTGCTGAGCTTTCAAATGTATTCAGACTTATATTTCCTTTAATAACACTTTATAAACAACAGTTAAACCGCGTTTATATCGTGTTTCTGCTCACGTGCAGATTGGCGGGAGATGGGTAGATGTTTTTAATTAGGCGAACTGACTTGATGGACGTTTTGCGGGACAGAAAATCCCAGTGAGGTGAGTCCGGATCGTGCCTTGTGTCGTGTCTCCACAGCTGAAGCGGACTTTCACGCCGACGCTTTTGCGTATAGTTTTCCCATGATCCTTTGCTGCCGTGCTGTATATTTGATCAAAGGAGCGACGGTCCCGCGATCGGAATAGAGCCTATAATTCTCGCTTCGTTCGGCCTCTCTGACGATATGATGTGCGACACGGCAAACAGGAGCTTCCGAGCGCAGCTGGCCACCATTCTGGACAAGCTAACGAAGGCGGCTCTGGTGGAAATCAGCAGCCTGGCTGACGAGTGCTCCTCCGTCCTTCACACCGAGATCTCCCTGCAAAAGACGGAGAACGAGGCGCTCAAGAAGAGATGCTTCTCCCTGGAGGTCCAGCTGAGAGCAGCCAGGGAGGGACAGTCCCACCCTGGACACGTCCACAGCTGTCTCAGCCGAAGGCAACTTCCAGGTCAGATGCACAGCTTCTGTTGACCGGCAGCAGAATTACCATCTATTTTTAAAAATCGTATTTTTAGACACAACAGCCATTTCCCCCAGCAGCGAACGTGGCTGCATCCTGTCATCGGCGGCAGCCTGCAGCATGTCTCGGTGTAACGTTTGCTTCTCCCGCAGATCAGCAGCATTCTGCTCCAGCCATAGACGGAGTCTTTGGAAAGGACTGGTGCATGGACCTGTGGCGAGAAGACAAGCAGCCTCCTCAAAGAGAGCCCATGGAGACCGCGGCTCTGACGGCGCAGGTTGGCTGCAGCAGTCCGCTCAGCTCAGCGGGGATGTACAAGAAAGCGTTGCTTCACTCAAGTGTCGCAATATCTCATGTTACAAAGTACCGATGTTTAAAAGCAGAGCATGGAGAGTTATATTGAGACTTACATGCAAGCACTGACTGTTTTTGGTGCAATCCACACTCTGACTGCTAGGTGGCAGCAGATTTCACTGACGTTCAGTTTAAAAAACCTCAAATGTTGTTTGGCTTTTAGTTTCGCCATCATCGTATGGTGATGTATATCATATCACCAGATTCTTGCCAATGTGCACGCCTACCACTCACACAGTAAGGCTAGTAAAGAGATGCTGTATTTAATATACTTCCTCTTGTTCAACAGGTAACTGATATGATTGGAAGAGAACCTGACATCATCTTTGTCAAGGAGGAAACCTATGACGATCATCCCATTGGCCAACAGATGAGGAATACCAACGACCCAAAAAGTGAGTGTTGTCTAGAATCAAGAGATTTATCGCGCTACCCGTCACCTAAGTGCGTTTATTTCTATCCTGCAGTCGTCGGGATGTTCGGAGACGACAGCCTTCTTCACAGATCTGTTGATGAACTGCAGCTTCACCCAGGGGGGTGCGACAACTTCCCCGTGATGTCTGAAAGTCAACTACAACACACGCAGCCAACAATCGCAGACAGATTAATAGATGATGCCACGATGAATAGTCTGGCTGAAAACACGAATCCCCTCTCTGGTGCCATGGAACACGCCAACTACACCAAACAACTCGCTTTTCATCAAAAAGCCGTTAAGCCATCAAAGCGTTTCGAGTGTTTGTTCTGTGGAAAAATCTTTAACTATCTGAGCAGTTTAAAAGTCCACATCAGACGACATTCAGGTGAGAAGCCGTTCAGCTGCACGGTGTGCGGCAAGCGCTTCGCCCAGAAAACATACCTGAAACTGCACCAGCGAGTGCACTCGGGGGAAAAGCCCTACAGCTGCCCTAACTGTGGCAAAAGTTTTTCTCAGAAGAGCTCTCTGAACATCCATCTGCGGACACACACTGGAGAAAAACCCTACAGCTGCATGGATTGCGGTAAATGTTACGCATACAAGTACGGTTTAAATCACCACCAGTGCTTCAGCTGGTTGGTCAAACCAGAAGTGTTTGATAGAGCTGCTTTCGGTACCGCTCCATCTGACTTAACATGTGCCAACATGTCCATTCAAAGCCCAAGCATGAATGAAACAAGCCTGTTTGAAGCAAAGAAAGGCAACTTGTAAAGCCCGTGGCTGGCCTTGCTGCTGCTTTTAGCCTTACTGCAGAAGCACTGACATATTAGGGGCTCACGGCAAAGTTTAAGACGTCATCAGCAGGTCAGGCAAACGCATAAACTCCATTTCACTCATGGGTACGTACCTCACGGCTCAGGCCACTATGGATGGATGCCAAAATACTTCCCCTGAGCAGGTGCTCCTGTCCAATTATAAGCTACCTCCTTTTAACGAAGAAGAAACGCCGCCGATTTCTTACCCAGGTGTCACCACTGCTCAGCACTTCATACCTACGCATACCTCATTTCTTAGATCATGAATGTGGAGGCCCGCCTCTTTAAAGAACAGAACTGTTGTGAAAATGTTTGTCTTGTGTATTTAAAATCAGTTGTATTCTCGTCTAGCTGACGTCACGTTTGAATAAATATTTGAGTTATTTAAAGAAAACTTGTTTTGCCACCACGCAGCTGAGCTGATTTGACTTAGTCTTGTACTTTTCTGAGTGGCGGGTTTGCCTGCAGCGTGCCTCTGAAGAGACGAGCAGAGCGAACCGGCTTTTTTGTTGTATTTCTCTGCTTTGTTTATTCTGTTCTAGATGGAAATGTAAAGACTTCAGGGATGATTCTTGCATCCTAGGTTTTGATTTGAAAATAGCCTACTAATCGTTTTAAAGTATTATATCAAATAAAACTGAAATCACAACACGAATGTTCACAGCTGTGCTTTATTAGACAACACTGCACCAAACATGCTCGTTTAACTAAACTGTTTTAGGAATTCGTCCTACAGACCACAAACCACTTCAAACTCCACGTTAACTTACTTTACACTGAAGGTAAAAGTTAGGATGATGCGCTCTAACGGAGACAGGGATCCTGTGCAACCAGCAGACACTTCCTGCTGTCTGCTTTCAAGTCTTTAACTTGTTTCCGGTCCACAGGCGGCTCTCCAGCAGCATCCTGCTTTAAATGTGCCATCAAATGATGACTGAGGTTCACCTTTTGCGTGAAGTTCTTCCCACATTTGACACAGCGGAACGGCCTCTCGCCGGTATGGATGCGCATGTGACATTTAAGATTTCCTTTCTGGGTAAACCATTTCCCACACAAACCGCACCTGTAAGGTTTCTCTCCTGTGTGGACGACATAGTGAATCCTCAGAGCTGACGGGTTGGCGAACGTCTTGCCACACAACTCACACGACCTACTGAGACTCTTTGAGGTAACTGGAGGCACACATCTGTGCGAGTTCAACTTTTTCCTGTGAGGAAAATTCTGCTTGCAGATGCTGCAGAAGTTTGACTTGTGTGACTTCATGTGACGTGTCAGAGTTCCTTTATGAAAGAAAGTCCTGCTACATATCTGACATGAAAACGTGTCGGTGTTCGTCACCATGCTGCTCTGTGGATGAGGCACACTGAGGTCCTCACAGGAATCTGTAGGGTCAGTGCAGCTCGTTGATGATGTCTGCTGTTTGTCTTGGCTGGGCCCAGCAGCAGCGTTTTGTGCCGACTCGTGTTGGCTTTCTTGAACAAACTGGACATCATCATCCTCGTCCTCTTCAACTGGAATGATGTGACAGCTGAAGGCCTCGTCGGTATCACCGATAGATATCAACTGAAGAGCCGGTTCTTCTGTACTTTCTGCCAGGTTCTCTCCACCCTGATCGAATGGCACGCTACGTGTGCTGTTGCCGCTAACCGAGTGGTCTCCAGGCAGCTGCCCCGACTCCTCAGCCATGCTTTCATGTTCTGCTGCATAGAAGACACAGCTGTCAGACACTCAGGTAGAAGTACCGACCCTGACTTTACATTCTCTCGTTCGAGCCTTCGAGTACCTTTTGTTCTTTCCTGTGGGGAGCAGGTAGCGGTGCTTTGCGTGCATCCATTCACTTTGATTTCAGGAGCTGTGATTTGGTCTGAGTGCATCTCTGCTGACTGTGAGACAAAATTACAAAGCAAATCTTTCCACATTTTCAACAGTAAAAACACATCACTGTTGTGTGTCTGGGGTTTAGACGTTAAGAAACCTCCGTTAAGAAATGATTTGTTATTTCTCAGAAAAAGGACTTGTAAGAAAAAACGAATACAAATGTATAACCTCTATTTAATTCTACATGTTGGGGATTATAATGCTTACTTATCAGACAACAAGGTTTATAATTACATAGTCGTTATATTGTGTAATATTTTGGTTAACTCATTTCATTTTTAATTAGCAGAATTTTAAATGTTCTGGCAGCTCAGTTTTTTTAAACTGGAAATTCTATAAGTTTTGTGTAATTAAAGCCTCATAAGGTACTGGATCTGCAAAACTACTGCTCTGAAAGCCCAAAGTAACCGTAGCTTTGGACATGTACATTTTTTAAAGAGTAAAATTAGCTTAATGTAGACTAAATTATTTATTGCAACACTTGTTGCTCGTGACAAACATGTAATATAGTCAGACTATTATTTTATATTTAAACATTTTCAGCACCAGGCACGAAGATCAGAGGAAACTTTTATTTTGTGTGTAACTGTCTCTCACCTTCTTAGGGGACATGGGTGAGTCTGGTCCTGTTTGCAGACTGTAAGGATCTCTATCTTTCCACAGATTTATACACCAATCTTTTCCAAAGATCTCCTTTATTGTAGGCGAACCGGAAACTGCGGAAACACAATAAAACACGGACACAAAACAAAAAGATGCAGGCTATTTCTGTTATTAGTATGATGAAATTGTGTGAAAAGACGATACCATCTGAAGCGTCTTCGTCTCTGGAGCAGGCAGTTTGGACACCGACACTTCGATAACCTTTACACACCTTTGGTGTATCACTTCTTACAATTGTCAGCTCACACTCCAGGTTGTTTACTTTTTCTGCCAATGCCGAATTTGCAACCAGAAGCCGGTAGACCTCCATACGCAGCTCCGCCGAGTCCTCGTCCACTAGTTTGGAGACCTGAGTCAGGACAGACTTAGCCATGGTGTCCATGATGGACGACAGCTGAGAGTGAAAAGAAAGGCGGCTCGCCATTGTAGGTTCAGATTAAACCAACGTTTTTGTCCTAACTAAATAACAAGCTGCGATGCAAACCAGAAACATGTAACGTTATAAGTTAAATAAGCTATTTGCGAGAGAAAATAACGAAGCTAATGAAGCTAATTTAAGTAAACGACGCTCCAAAAGCGGGACACAAATAAAAGTTGCAACTGTTACGTATTTCCGGTATTGGTGTTAAGCTGAAAAAGGTACCCCTGTCGTTAGTAGATAAACAGACGTTTCAGCGAAGTTTTGATAATTTATCAATGGTTGAAATTTTGGAAAGATAGACAAACGAATTCGCATTTTACACAAACCAACTTAGCCACAGTTGTTTCTATTCGACTTTAGTTTTTAGGGGAACTAAAAGTGTAGTTAAGCTAGTACAAGTTTAGTTGTAAGTCGAGAACTAAATGGAATTTTGTTTCAAAGATCATCTAATAAATTATTTCGATGGTTATAAATTCGAACGCACTGAAAACTAAAAGTTGGTTTCACATAATTTTCTTTGCGGCTTTGAAATAAGACGTCGCGGTCTCCCTTTCACACACGGTGTACGTTTTGTGATACAACACTGGCGGATGCATCCGGTCAGCTGAGGCTTGTCAGAGCGCTTCCTGATTAGCGAATGAAATCACATTGCGGGGGCTTTTTCTTTACGAAAACAACCCAAATGCTAACCGCTTCATCCCGCATCGCCACAGACGTCAGTACACGTGATCTGGGGCCGTAGCAGCCGCCAAAATGAACGCCGAGAAGGACTTTTCGCCATTGACGCCCAACATCGTCAGGGCTCTGAATGACAAACTGTACGAGAAGAGGAAAGTCGCAGCTCTGGAAATAGAGAAGCTGGTGCGGGAGTTTGTGGCTCAGAATAATTCAACTCAGATCAGACATGTGATCCATGTTTTGGCATCGGAGTTTGCTCTCTCCCAGCACCCCCACAGTCGGAAGGGGGGTCTCATTGGTCTTGCAGCTTGCTCCATCGCCCTGGGGAAGGACTCAGGTCTGTATCTGAAGGAGCTTATTGAGCCAGTTCTAACGTGCTTCAACGACTCAGACAGCCGTCTGCGCTACTATGCTTGTGAGGCACTCTACAACATAGTGAAGGTGGCCCGGGGAGCGGTGCTGCCACACTTCAACCTTCTCTTTGATGGTCTCAGCAAGCTTGCAGCAGATCCAGACCCCAACGTGAAAAGTGGATCTGAACTCTTAGACAGGCTGCTCAAAGACATCGTCACAGAAAGCAACACGTTTGACTTGGTGGCATTTGTGCCTCTGCTGCGGGAGAGAATCTACTCAAATAATCAGTATGCCAGACAGTTCATCATTTCTTGGATCCTTGTTCTGGAGTCTGTGCCAGACATTCACTTGTTAGACTACCTTCCAGAGATTCTGGACGGGCTCTTTCAGATCATGGGTGATAACAGCAAGGAGATCCGTAGGACATGTGAGGTGGTGCTGGGAGAGTTTCTGAAGGAGATCAAGAAGTCACCCTCAAGTGTGAAATTTGCAGAGATGGCCAACATCCTTGTCATTCACTGCCAAGTTGCTGATGAAACCAAACTCACAAATGATCTGATCCAGCTGACCGCCATGACATGGATGAGGGAGTTTATCCAGCTCGCAGGCAGAGTGGTGCTCCCCTACTCCTCTGGCATCCTCACTGCCGTGCTCCCCTGCCTTTCCTACGATGACAGAAAAAAGAACACTAAAGAAGCAGCCAGCGCCTGTAATAACAGTTTGATGAAACTGGTGACCCCTGAAGACGATGAAGACAATGAGGAGGATGGAAGTGGAACCACTGAATCACCATCTACAGTGGAAGGCCAGCCCAAAGTGGAGGGAGAGAGCGGTGATGTGCTGAATGCTTCTCAAGACTCTGTAGGCTTCAGTAATATCAGCTTCTTTACTCCAGCGAGCACTGAACGGCCTCAGGTAACTCTAGACCTAGATGGCATCGTGCAGGTGTTGGACCGCCACCTCCATGACTCGTCCACTGGCATGATGACCCGCATTGCTGTCCTCAAATGGCTTTATCACCTCTACATTAAGACGCCACGCAAAATGTTCCGCCACACAGACAGCCTCTTCCCTATTCTGCTCAAAACACTCTCCGATGAGTCAGATGAGGTGATATTGAAAGATCTGGAGGTGTTAGCTGAGATAGCCTCATCTCCTGCTGGACAAACTGACCTAGGCTCCTCCTGCGACAGCACTGACAACAAACTGGTTCTCAAGGTGCCAGAGGTTCCCAAGGCAGGGCAGCAGCCTAGCACCGGCTCCAAAGCTGCAGACTCATCCCCGTCCACCCCGAGTATGAACTCATACTTTTACAAGTTCATGATCAATTTACTTAAACGTTTCAGTCTGGAGAGGAAGCTTTTGGAGATCAGAGGAGCTTTCATCATTAGACAGCTGTGCCTGTTGCTTCATGCTGAGAACATCTTCCACTCCATGGCTGACATCTTACTGAAAGAAGAGGACCTTAAATTTGCCTCCACCATGGTTCAGACCCTCAACACCATCCTGCTCACCTCTGCTGAACTCTTCCAGCTGCGCAATCAGCTGAAAGACCTGCACACCCAGGAAAGCTGTGCTTTGTTTTGCTGCCTGTATCGCTCCTGGTGCCACAACCCCGTGGCCACCGTCTCGCTTTGCTTCCTCACACAGAACTACAAGCACGCCTACGATCTCATTCAGAAGTTTGGAAATTTAGAGGTGACCGTAGACTTCCTAATGGAGGTCGACAAGCTAGTACAGCTGATAGAAAGTCCCATTTTTACCTACCTGCGTCTGCAGCTGCTAGACGTGGAGAACAACCCCTACCTGATTAAGGCGCTGTACGGTCTCCTGATGCTGCTGCCACAAAGCCAGGCCTTCCAGCTGCTCTCACAGCGCCTCAAGTGTGTCCCCAACCCAGAGCTGATGAGGACCGTGGACGAGTCCGAGTGCGTCAACTCCAAACAGCACGTGACCTGCAGACGTACCTCTCACAGTAAGGTGGATTACAGTGAGCTGCTCCAGCACTTTGATCGTGTGCAAAGCAAACACCTGGAGGTCCGGCACCAGCGTTCTGGACGAGTGGCTGACCACGACAGAAAGCTGGTGTGAAGTCTTCGTGCTACGCACACCTCTGGTTGTCGAGGACAAGGAGATGAGGCTAACGGAGCACAAAGGACGGGAAGAATCAGGAGGATGTTGAAGCCAAAAAGTATTAATTACTTATTCTTTTCCCCCAGAAAAACCAGAACGTTATTGTCAGAAATGCTCATGTTTCATTTAGACATTCCTCTTATGAAAAAGGTTTGAAAAACATTTTATCCTAAAATGTGTACTACACTGTAAACGACAAAGTAGATGTCTTCTTCTGTGGTGTAAATGAATAATGCAGAACGTGTTAGAAAAGGTTAATAACTACATTTGTCACGCACTGTTTTCGTCTGTCTTCCCGTGAGCAGGTGTTCAGGGTTCTCTCATTCACGTCAGTCAGAAAGGAAATCTCGCAGGAGGCGTCAAATCGGCTCAACCAGGATTTTAATGTGAGGGTGACACCAGAGCCAGCTGGAACAGCCTCGCACGGCTTTTAATTTGACGTCTTGACAACATAATCAACAGCGTTTGTGTTGCTCTTTTATTGTTTGTGCTGTTTGTTCTGCTCTCTGGAGATTGCGTTAATAAAGCATTAATAAAGTAGACCGTGTAACAGAACAGAAGCATTTCTTCTTTATATCCCACTCGATGAGTAGAGTAGCTGGGGGGAGGTGTGTGAAGGACGTAAGAGGATCTGAAACGTCATGTTCTTGGTTTCTGATGGTTTCTTTTCACTTTCACAATCAGCCTAATCATATTCAGAACTTATGACAAAGATAGTTTATTAACGAACAAATTGTGTTAATTACATTCATTTCTGTAATTTAACTAGACTGAGAGACCATTTAAAGGCTCAGGAACCTTTACAGGTGTTTCTATTTGCAATTTTAGCTGATTGGGGTCTTGTTGAATATTACACAGTGACCTTTTAATAGTCTAGATAAGTGTAATGCTCCTGTTAGTAGTTCCTCCTGTTAAGTGCTTATTTATTTAAATTATTCAGGTTTATAAAAAACATTTAGACATACATTTTATTATGTTCCAGTCATTAGTCATTTATATTTCACTATTGTAGTAATTCTTGCATGCTTTAATGAAAAAGTAACTAAGTAGTTATTTTTCTTGGTAGTTACTTTTATAATCTTGTAACTCAGTTAGTAACTGAGTTACTTTTTTGACAAAGTAATCAGTAACTATAACTAATTACTTTTTTAAAGTAACGTTCCCAACACTGGTTGTTACCTTTATATTGCTACATGTTTTCAGAAGAAGAGCCTGATAATCTGACCGTTTGTTCCTTGACCATCTTTACTGTGCTGCAGAGTATCCAGACGTGCAGCCCGGATGCGCTAAAGCCGACCGAAAAGCTCTGCAGAACATCATCGGCTGTCTCCGACCTTCTCTGGAGGACATTGCAGACTCCTGCTATCTCTAGAATAAAAGACACAGAGGACCACTCCCATCCTGGCCACTCCCTCTTTTCTCTTTTGCCCTCAGGCAGGTGCTCATCATCAAAATCCAGTAGAAGCAAAGTTCGAGCTTTCACCCGTACCCTGCAGACTAGAACAGGCTCCTCAGGTGACTAAACAGTTGCAGCGGCTCAAATTCAGCATGAATGGATTATGCACACTTTCATGTGCAATTATGTTAAACACTGAAGAGCTCCTGCACTCATGTAAAAAGTGTATCTTATGTATATATTTGCAATATTGAAAATTTGTGTACAAAAAAGAAAACCAAATATATGAAAACAAAATGATCAAATGTCTATAAAATACACACACAGCCTCTGTAGCACTTTCCATCTGTTTGTGGTGGGATTTCTCTCTAAATTCACGAGTCCTTTTCTAGTTTTGGTCTTGTAAACACAGCTGAGAACTGTCCATACACGTGGCGTGGGTCGTGGTGAGTGATGACGAAGCCAGAGGAGCTAGGTTGCTCCCCCTCTCTCCTGCAAGACTATCCACCGTTAAACACTTAAAGAATACGCCAACAGATTTCAGGTCTGCCTCGGTTGTGGAAAACAACCAGTGCTGCGCTGATCTTCACGGATGGAGGCTGGAGTGTGTTGTCAGGTTTTGGATGAATCCTGTTGCGCCGTGTGTGGAGAAGCCTTCCTGGCTCCATTTGTCCTCAGCTGCATCAGCTGTGCTTGTGGTTTCTGTCATTATTGTTTGGTGAAATTCTGGACGCAGCTCGGTGCTAGAGAGTGTCTGCTCTGCCTTAAAGAAAGTCTTGGACTTCCACATAAATCGTGTGAATCACACGGGGAGAGCGTGACCCTCTTTTGTCTGGCTGGCCTAGAGCCATGCCTGTTGTGTTTGCAGCAGATCAGGCTGGCTCGTGACCCACAGAGTGTATCCCTTACAGGAGGCATTCAGGGATCACAAGGTGAGCAGCTGTTTCTTTCAAAATATGTTTTTCCACCAAGTTAATAAACTTAAAATGGTTGATGTGGAATTCTGGAACATGAAAAAGAATGTTTCGCTGTCTTTAAACAAGTCTGTCATCATGGCATGCTCTTGGGCAGGAACACTGACCCAGACCACGGTTTCTCTGGGCAGGAGTGTGTTCTCCGGGCTTTCTCTCCACCAACAGTCTATTTTTGTGCCTTGTTCATTCCATTATCACAACAACATACTGGGTTTCAATGCAAACAAGGTCGGGTTGCTGTTAAACATTCTGACTTTAGCGTTGGTTAGTTCATCAAATCGACTTTATTGTTTGTTAGTTTTAAAGCGACGACTGTTTGGGTCGGGTCCCAACGGTCCAGTAGCTTAAACCACGGCCTTCTATTTATACCATCATCACTCCTCTAAATCTGGACATGTCTTCAGTTACAGTTGGGCAGGAAGTTTAATTAACTTCAAACATATAGAGGTCATCATAACAACAACGACTGCTGTCCTCGTCGGGTTTGGGGTTATAATCTCAGTGCTGATCTGCAGAAACACAATCGCTGGACTGTAAAGTGTCGCTGGTTTTATTTAAAGGGGTGTTTATTTGAGAACCTGCAATGATCATTGGCAAACTCAACACATCTTAATATTCCACTCAAAATGCCTTTGGGAGCTGAGGTCTTAACACTTATTTCAGTGATTAAGATGAAGAGGCCTGCCACAGATGTGGGCGGGGCTTTAGAGCCCACCTTCCCATCACTGCACTGGGACAAAGCATGGCCACCAGACGCGCTCGTTCTGAAGATGACCTTTCCTGTCCAATTTGTGGACTCATTCTTTGTCAGCCGGTGGTCCTCACTTGCAGACACAGATTCTGTAAAGCCTGTCTGAAAGACAGCTGGGACACACAAGGCAGCAAAGACTCCCACTACTGTCCTCTGTGCTGGCGGCGTTCCTCAATGGATCAAATAGCAGTTAACACTGTGCTGGAAAAGGCCTGTGAATCCTTCAAAGAAGACAGACGCAGGAATGACCCAGAAACGTGTAAAGAGCATGGGGAAATGCTCACACTCTTCTGTGTGGAGGACTTGGAGCCGATCTGTGGTGTGTGTGGAAAAGCAGCTGCACACAGAGGGCACAGGCTCTATCCTGTTGGCGAAGGCACTCATGACTGTAAGGTAGGACTGGTACTGTGGCCAGGCTGGCCCAAACACTGCACACAGCTGGCATAGACCTGACAGAAGGTACTTGGGAAATGTTAAAATAACATTATTTCATTTTTGTGTTATTATTTTTATGACTCTAACTTAGAAGAAATGGTGACAGAGTTTGAGTTAAAATCAGATTTATACATAGAAACAGACTTAAAAGAAGTATAAACTCTTCTGCTTTAACTTTTAAGTTATTATTCATTTATTAGTTAAATAAGTAAATAAAAACCGAGTTTCAGGGCACTTTTGAACACCTAGACACGCTGATAAAGTATGAGTGAAGGCTTTTTGGCAGAGTTAATCATTGTTCTAATTATAGGTTTATATATTTGGTTTCCTGTTGCTATTCGGGTCCCAAAAGATCTGAAACTCGACTCTCACATGGTTTTAGTGACGCTAGAGTAATCCTTCCCTTCCAAGCCTTTCCCCAGACACCAGAAAATATGAAGCTCAAACGTGAAAGGAATATTATTTCTACAGATTACTGTCTTTTAATCCTGATGTCAGTTTTGATCATTTTACCCAGAAAACAGATCTTCATCTGTAGATTTGTTCATCTGATACCACTACTCCCAAAAAGTTTGCATTTCCGTGGAACGCTGCGGTGAGAGAGCATGTGGCAGCTGAAAGCCTCTCTGTGCTGACAGCTTGGCCACCTGCCAGGCTGATCTGGTTGAAGAGCTGATGTTGTGCTGCTGACATTTCAGGAGGAACTGAAGAGCGCACTCCTGCCCTTGAAAGAGAAACTGCTGCTCTACAAGAAAGCAATAACTGTGTGTGAAGAAACGGCTGAACATGTCAAGGTAGTCAGGCTAACCCTGGAAAAAAATGTTGGAACCACAGCGAGGAAGCAGCTAACACCCATCCATCCTGTCTTTTCAGAACCAAGCAAAGCACACGGAAACGCAGATCAAAGAGGAATTTGAAGCCCTTCATCGTTTCCTGAGAGAGCAGGAGGCTGCGAGACTTTCTGCTTTAAAGGCCGAGGAGGATCTCAACAACCAAATGATTCATCAGAGGATGGAGGAGATGAGCAGTGAGCTGGAGTCTCTCTCTAACACCATCAGAGTTACAGAGCAGGAAATGAACAGTCCTGATGTTCCATTCCTAAAGGTAGACGACACAGCTGACTTTCTGTAGAGTCACCCAGATCGATAAACGTTTCCTTTTTTACAGAATTACAAGGAAACTATCAGAAGGTAAGCTTTTCACAACGCATTTAGTGCCTTATTAAGCTTGTTGCATCTCCACAGATTCAATTCTCAAAAACAAATGTCTGCAATGTTGTCAGGACTTGGAAAAGGCCTCATGACCCACCAACGATGTACGGCGTTCTCATTGATGTGGCCAAACACTTGGGCTCTCTGAAGTTTAAGGTGTGGGAGAACATGAAGAAAGTTATTAAATACAGTAAGTTTTAAAAAAAAATCAAGTTTTAAAACATTTACCAGGCATTTATTATTATAATTATACTCCTTGTCTTTCATCGAAGCTCCAGTGGTTTTGGACCCAAACACAGCAGCCGGCTGCTTCATCCTCTCTGAAGATCTCACCGTTGTGCAGAACTCCACTCAAATCTTCAAGCTGCCAGACAACCCAGAGCGTTTTGATATTAGTGCCGAGTTGCTTGCTGCCGAGGGCTTTTCTTCTGGACGCCACAGCTGGGATGTGGAGGTGAACCACAACACCTACTGGGTTTTAGGCGTAGCCAGCGAGAGCATCAACAGGAAGGGGAAACACGTGCTCACGCCAGCTGAGGGATTCTGGACTATAAGATATCGTAACGGGGAGCACAAGGCCTGCACGGCACCATGGGAGCCACTCAACATGACTAAAAAGCCAGACGTGATAAGGGTGGTTTTAGATATGGACCGAGGCAAAGTGACCTTTTATGACCCCAAAGAAAGAGCACCCCTCTACACCTTCACAGAAATCATCACTCCCAGAGCCTTCCCCTACTTCTGCAGTGCTTGTAAAGATCATCCTCTGAAGATCCTACCAACGAGGATTACTCTATCAACAGATTAAAAGACAAATCCCCAGTTTCAATGTATTTTTATAGGATTATTTATCAAAATAAAAGCCCGTCAACATTTCTTTGAGGAAGAGATGATTAAACAAACGCTTGATCAAACGTTTTAAATCAATACCACGAAACAAACGGGTTTAGTTTATTTTATTTTGAGTTACAACAAAAACAGTTCTGCACTTATAAATCACGTCCCCTAACATCCATATATTACCACAGGATTTGTTACATAAAACAGTCAAATGTGACTTATTTAGCTTCCTTACTGATCTGAACTCTTGTCCATAAAAAGGGTTAAAATATGAAATTTCACAAAAGGCACTTGTAATGATACTGTGTATTTCCAAGCCCATGTCAGTGTTGTTTACAGGTCCAAACTTGATGAGTCGGACCGTTTATCCACTGCATTAAGAGAAACTAAAACTCGGTGTTTATGTTAACGTTGTTTTTTTGGACTAGCAGCTGTTTATAATGCAAGTTAAAATCAAGTCTCACTCTCATTAAAACAAGCAGGAGTAACGTGACTGTAACGGTTAAACCTACAGTTATAACATAGCAGCTTACAGCTTTTCCTAAAGGAGCATCAATCCCATAATAAGGTTTATCTCGGTACGTTTTAGCACTAACGTTACTGTAGCATGTTTCCTATCTCGAACTGGCTGTAGAAGATATTCTGTGTGTGGTGATGCTCAAAGGCTTCACGAGGCGTTTGTTATGTAACAATGTTATTAAAAGCAGCGAGTAACCTGGCGACTGTCCTGGTTATTGACTTATTCAGTGTTGAAATGCCATGCTTGTAACAGTACTCTAAAGAAGTTTTACTCCAGTCTGTTCAGTGAATGCTTTAAATCCAGTCGGCGGAGCACCAACACGTACTGATACTCTCTACAACTTCACTCTCTCAGAAGCACCTGCTCAGTCCGTTTTACTTCCCAGCCACGTCGCCCTCACCACATCATAGAGACACTCTCCCCTCCACTATAGTAGTAAAGAGCTCCTCGTTCACAGCCTCATATCGTGCCGCTCTACTGTTCAGAAAGTAGATCTGGTCACTTGTGAGACGTGGGTCAAACCCCTCCTTCTGCAGCCTGGTTTTCTGGATTTTAAATGTACCTACACAGAAAGTTTACATATGTGAGATTACACTTCATTTATTGTTATTTTCAGTGATTTTCCCGTTTATTTAAAGGGACCAGGAATACTGGGTTGGTTTACCAGTAGTGTCCACTTGTGGTGAGATCCTCAGGAACACCGGGCGGGCATACGAAGGAAGAACTCGCTGGATGTTCTGCAGGAAACTGCTGCAGTCAAAACTTCCTGTTACATCTGCAATGGCAGCCATACCCGCCTTTCCTTCAACACCTGACACAGAAAACAATAAAACATGAATGTGTGGGGCAAACGAAAGCCATGGCTCCAGTATAAAGGTAAAGAAAACAGTCACCTGGTATAGACACACCGTACACAGCCACATCAGTTTGATGGAGAAGATTGCTGAGTATCCCCTCCACCTCTGTGGTTGAGACGTTTTCCCCTCTCCACCTGAACGTGTCTCCACTGCGGTCACGAAAGTACATGTAGCCCAGTTCATCCATCACTAGCACGTCACCTTGGGTAAAGGAGAAGCTAATTAGCCTTAGGCCACATAAATGATTACATCACATGATGTTTAGACACATTAACTCTACTGAGCACGGACAAAAACATGTTTGACAGTTTGAAAGTTTCCATTTAAACTTTAATAATTTTAAAAACTGCTGCTTTGCAGTTAAAGAGAGGTTGTCGACCTGATAAATAGGCAGAATCATCCTTCTTGAAAACATTGTGTGCAATCTTCTTCTTTGTAGATTCCTGACTAGCATAGCCATCAAATCGCCGCAACGGGTCCTTCTGGTTGATGCGACCCACCAGAAGTCCTGGCTCCCCTGTAAAGCATGCATACGTCTAATATTGTGCTTTCAGGACATCAACGCATCATACTTCAGTAAAAAAAAAAAAAAAACCTTATCGGTGAAATGAAGGCGTTCCTTACCAGGGCGGCAAGGCATACAGAGGCCCCGACTGTCCCGGACAAGTTCCATCGTGTCCTCGTTCACCTTCACAAGGCGGATCGGGTAGACAGTAGGGAGAATACGACTGTTGAATCCACAGGCGCCCACCTGGCAGAACATACTCAGCTAAGCTCATGTCCAGATCACATTTTTTTATCTGTCTGCAAAGAGAGAAGGAACGGTGTACTTTGCCGTCCATGTTGGCAATGCTGCAGTTGCACTCTGTTGCTCCATAGAACTCGCCAATCTGAGTCACACCAAATCGTTCCATAAAGGCTTCCCATACACTGGGGCGCAAGCCATTCCCCACTGCCAGACGCACTTTGTGGTTCTTCTCTGATGGTCGGACCGGCTGAGACAGAAGGTAGCGACAGATTTCCCCGATGTACTGCACCACCTGCGAGAAAAGACTCAGAATTATTTCAATGCTTCATTATGATTTATTTTAATTTGGCACCATTTCATATTTTTCAAGATTGAACTCTTACAGTACAGTTGTACTTAATGCAGTCATCCCAGAAGCGGCTGGCAGAGAATTTCCTCTTTACTACCACAGTGAGCCCGTGGACTAGACACTGACCAACTCCTATAATATTACCTGGCAAAAGGAGAATGCATCGATTCATTTCAATCACACCTAATCCAAGGGTTAAAATTATATTCATCAAAAGCTTCTGATAAGAATCACATACCTGCTGAGTGGTATAGGGGCAGGCAGTCATACAGGATGTCACTGGGACGCATGCGAAAGGCGAAATGCCCAAAAGCAGCAATTCTATAGTATCTGTCATAGAGATTAAACATTAGGTGCACAATAGCAAGTGTGGAGATTAATGCAGTTGTCTGAGAATACATACCGACTGTGTACCACAATAGCCGCCTTGGGCAGTCCCGTGGTTCCTGAGGTGTAAATATAGAACAGCCGGTCTGCAGGAGAGGATACAGTTTTAAGATGTTTTCACATAATTTAGTCAGTTTTATAGGAACAAATGTGATCCCTTTAGTCTAACATGCATCTGGGGTGATCTGATCCCAAGTGGACAAAAGTCAGGATGGGTATAGAACCATTCATGAGGGGTCAGGGACACATTTATCCATATTTGTTTCCCAGTCAAAAAGTAAACAGCCCAGATGTGGCTCCACATAAGCTGCAAAATAACCAGGGAAAAGAAAATTCTGTAAAACTATCGACACTAAAACAGGGTATATGCAGGAATCTCAAAATTAAATTTAAGACTTTTTCAAGACTTTTTAAGACCTTGTACAGATAAAATTAAGACTATCGCAAAGAACTGATCAACTGTTAAACACTCAAATATTGTTTTTAAATACTGCATCGCTTCGTTTTCCACTTCATGTTGGGGACAGCGAGGCTGTAGCAATAAAACGTAAAGCCACATGGCACAAAAATGCAAACCGAGCGCATAGAAGAACAGTATATATATATATATACATATTTTTAGTTTAGATGCATCTATTTTTCATAGCCACGAACTCCGAGGCTGTGAAAAAAAGTGACAACTAAAATAACTCCCCCCAAACAAGGTCCTCACGTGCTGCAGATGTGCATCTGTTCTACAGTGAGTTTTGTAGTGACCTCTGACATTTATATATTTTATTTTATTGAGAATAAAAAAAAAATCATGTGATGTTTTTGCAAAATGCAAGCAATTTTCTACCAGTCCTACCGTTCAAGAGAGCTAAATATAATAAATTGAAATAACTAATCAGATAATGATTAGGAATCATCATGTAATAATTAACTATTATTATGAAACCAATTCACAAAACACCAAACATAAAAACATCTGAAAATATTCCAAATGACTGTAATCATTCTTAAGTAGGATGACCAGATCCCAACTCACCACATGTGGGACAGAGTCTGCTCACTGTGGGACGTGAAGCTTCAGTGTAACCAGATAAAGTTAAAATGTTTTTTTAATCTATTCTGCCTTTTATCTCTAACATGACCGTTAAATATACATACAGTTATTATATAACTGATGTCTTAAATATTCTATTTGAATTAAACGTGAACAAGCAAACAGCAAAAGGTTTAATGCTGTTTCTCAGTTCCTCTCCAGTTACCACATCTTAACTCAGGCTGGACCTTCTACAGTGGCTCTGAGTAACTTTAGTTACAGTTACTTTAAACAATCAACTGATTTTATAAATATAGACAGGCCCACTATAAAAGAATGAAGGTTTAAGCAGCTTTTTAAAGTTTTCACTTAATATTTGTGCTGACTTCCCACAACAGAATGATAGTAAAAGTACCAGAAACATCTTTAGATCTATTTATGTTTACTTTCCACTAATAACAACTCATTAAGAACAGATCCATACTGTTGTGCAAGTTTTTCTTCTTGATTTCAAATCTCTTATATAACATGTAGGGAAGACGTGCCTAAAGGGTTTAGCCTGTATGTATCTGAAACAACAACCGCAGCACCTTGGGAAAGCGGGTTTTGACCAACACTTGACCCCCCCCCCCCAAAACAAACAAACAAACAAACAAACAAACAAACAACAAAAAACACAAGCCTCTGGAAACAGTTAAGGCTGAAACTGAAAGGAGACAAACCTGCTAAAGTTCTGGACAGAAAACTGACGTATCTGGAGGGGATTTGGATGATTTTACGGAGTTTAAGCTCCAACCGCTGCCAGATGTTGAAACAACAGTAGTAGCGGCGCCGTGACACCGGCTACCGCAGCGTGTTTTTCCCTTGCTGTCTCCGTGACTGGTCAAATGGCGACTTGTTACCCACTAACAAAGATGGTTTGTGAATAGGATGAACACTCCTCATTTTTCTGAAACTGATTCTTATAGAGCGACTGAAACCCCGACCAAAGACTCACCTTCCCTAAAGCAAAAACTGATTCACGTGAATGCATTTGGTTGCATAAACGGCAATTTTCGCTGAAAAGCGTCAAGTTTGCTAGTATGAGACGAACGTATTTTAAAATCACGTCAATACGAACCAAATTTAAGACTTTACTAAATCGATTTAAGACTTTTAAGGGACTTAATTTTCCTTTCATCAAATTTAAGACTTTTAAGATTTTTAAGACCCCGCGGATACCCTGTAAAACTATCAACACTAAAACTATTAACAAAAAAAAAAAAAAAAAAAAAAAAAAAAAAGTCAGGAAAACCAGAAAATTGTGGGAATATCCTTATTCACTTATTTCACATTATTATTATGGAGTGTTGTGTGTTGAATTTTATGGGCAAAATGAATTTAATCCATTTTGGAATCAGGCTGTAACATAAGCAAAAAAGTGGAATAAGTGAAGCGCTATGAATACTTTCCGGATGCACTGTAAGTAGCTGAAATGATCTAGAATCTTACAAAAGGGTCAACAAGCTGCTGAGGGCCTGTTTGTTGCTCTGATAATGGCCGACTGTGTCCTGGAAGAAGAAGAAGAAAATATCATTTCTATAGCGCCTCTCACGATAAAAATCACGAGGCACTTCACAAAAAAAATAGTAAAAATATATAAAAGCATTTAGAAAATGTTTAAAAGTATATTTAAAATGAGCAAAAATAGGCAATTGGGATTTAAAAGAAAAAATGTTAAGAAGGAGAGTGAACAGGAAAGAGGGAAATCAGTGGATCCTGAGGAAGGTGGAATAGGTGGGGAGAGCAGAATAAAGAGAGAGAGGTGAAGAAGGTCATACAAAAGCCAGCTTGAACAAGTGAGTCTTCAGCTGCTTTTTAAAGGAGACCACTGAGTCCACTGATCTCAGGCTCAGGGGGAGAGAGGTCCAGAGTCTGGGGGCCACAGCAGCAAATGATCTGTCACCTTTGGTCTTTAGCCTGGTGCTGCACAACCAGTAGGCTTTGATCACTGGACCTCAGGGACCTGCTGGGGGTGTAGGGACTAAGAAGATCACCAATGTAAGATGGTGCTTGTCCATGTAAGGCCCTATAGACCAGAACCAGGATCTTGAAATGAACCCTGAAGTTGACTGGCAGCCAGTGAAGCTGGAGGAGAAGCGGGGTGATGTGGGTGTGTTTGGAGGACTTGGTCAGAAGCCGAGCACAGGCGTTCTGAACCACCTGTGGACGGTTCAGGGAGGTTCTGCTCAGACACGTGAAAAGAGAGTTACAGTAGTCTAAGCGTGAGGAGATGAAGGTGTGGAGAACTGTCTCAAGTTCAGAACGAGACAGAATGGGACTCAGCTTAGCAACGTTCCTGAGATGGAAGAAGGAAGAGCAAACAAGAGAACTGACGTTAGAATCCAGGGTGAGAGCTGGGTCAAAGGTCACACCAAGATTCCTGATGGAGGGTTTGGTGTGAGAAGCAAGCTGACCAAGAGAGTCTCTGACTTTGGGAACCAGCTTGTCTGGGGCACAGATGAGGATCTCAGTCTTATCTTCATTCAGCTGAAGAAAGCTCCCAGCCATCCAGGCTTTGATAGAGTCTAAGCAGGTGTGTAACAGCTGCAGCTTAGACATCTCATGGGGCTTAAAGGAGATGTACAGTTGCATGTCATCTGCATAAAGATGGTAGGAGATTCCTTTGAAGGAGCTCAGAATGTGCTGAAGAAGAAGCAGATAGAGGAGGAAGAGCAGAGGCCCCAGCACAAAACCTTGTGGGACACCATGGGTGGAGGACCTAAACTTGGAGATGGCCACAGAAAAGGAGCGCTCACAGAGATAAGAGAACCACTCCAGAGCAGTTCCTGATAGGCCTACCCAGTCTCTCAGCCTCTCGAGTAGCAGGTGATGGTCAACAGTGTCAAAGGCTGCAGTCAGGTCCAGCAGGACCAGAACAGAACAGTCCCCTGCATCACTGTGAGTCAGAAGGTCATTAGAGACCCTAAGAAGAGCTGTTTCAGTAGAATGAGCTCTAGGAAAACCTGACTGGAAGCTATCATAGATGTTATGTTCATCAAGAGCAGCTGTGAGTTGTTTAGCCACAACCTTTTCCAAGATCTTGGAGATGAACGGAAGTTTAGAGATGGTCTGAAGCTGCTATGGAGAGAGGGGTCGAGACTCAGTTTTTTAAGCAGCGGGTGGATTACAGCGTTCTTAAAGTAAGCAGGGACCTGACCAGAAACTAGAGAAGCATTAATTATAGAGAGCACGCTGGGACCGATGGACTGAAAAGCACTTTTAAACAAGGATGAGGGTAAGATGTGGAGGGGGCATGCAGAGGTCTTCATAGAGTTAACTAGTTTGGTTAACTCAGGCAAAGAAACAGGAGCAAAGCTATCTAGGATGATGGGCCTGGTTGGAGTCGGGAGAGGCAGCGATAAGGCCGAAGGAGAGATGCTAGATCTAACCTTATTGACTTTGTCCACAAAGAAAGACAGAAAGTTCTCACAGTCTGCAACAGAGTGGATGGAGGCTGTCAGAGAGGCAGGAGAGACGCTGCTGCTGATGGTGTTAAACAGCACCTTGGGGTTCCCTTTGCTCTGAGACACCAGGTTGGAGAAACTGGAAACCCTTGCATCTCTGACTGCAGAGTTAAAGGATGTCAGAAGAATTTTTAGGTGCAGCAAATGGACGTGGAGATGGGTTTTCTTCCACAAGCGCTCAATTTTTCTGCATTGGCGCTTCAGGCTGCGAAGGCTGTCATTAAACCAGGGAGTGGGGTTCACTGCAGGAACTGATCTGGTTCTGACAGGACAGATGGAGGCGTCATGTTTACTTGCATGCTGAGCAACAAACCGAGATCTGATGACTGAGGATGCATTTTGCTGCCAAGTCAGAACAATCATACCTAGAGCCGATTACCTTTTATCAGATCAGACAGAATGCTGGTTTTGCAAAGTCTGAATGAGGTCACTTATGACAAATCAAAATCCGATCTTTAAGACAGTCTGAGACACGCAACGCCATTTAAAAACAAATATTTCATGTGCTGAATGTAGGATCATATCATCTGCAAAAATGGTGTACTTTCATTTCACTCCTTCTCAATTTTTGTTTTAGACACAAAAAACTCAAGTCTAAAATGAAAATACTTAGATGTAGAATAAATGATGCTCTGTCAAAACCAGCTAATATTTATAAGTTGTTCTGTGCATTAAGCACTGAATTTAATTAGTAAAATAATCACCAGCAATGTCAGTCACAGTGATCAGCCATCTTCAGCAAATAAATGAAACAGCCCCTTAACCCGACTTGGAGGCACCAGTGGCGCGGAACATTGCAGCTTCAAACAGAATCCATTATAGTCTATGGCTTGATCCAAACCAGCTATGACGCGGAAATTTTCAGGTGCGTCCGACAAGCAGCACGCCATGCTACTAAAATAGGATTGGGTTCCATTTTTGCCACAAGCTGCATTTTGGGACATGTCAATTTCTGCAGTTAGCATAGGGCTAGACAAGAAATCACACTCGTTTCATTATAAAATGTCTGGAAATTTTCTAAGTAAAACACTACTGCAGGGATACCATTTCATATCTATGTAGATTACGTCAATACATATAACCTGACCCATTTACTCAAAGCATCTTTCGAGAAGTGCAACAGTGTGTTTTTATGGTGACAGGTGATCCTGACCACTACCTTTATAAACAAACTCAGTATGTTCACTCAGTCTTGTAGTTCAGCGGTTACACATCTGGACATGAACGCACAGCTTGCACATCCAAATGGTTCAAATGAAGGCAACTGGACTTCTTGAACACATTTTGCTTCTCATCCGAGGAGCTTTGTCAACTCTAACTGGAATATGGGAGAGCCAGGTTTATAAGCTGTAGCTGTCCGTTGTTATTTAACGAGCAGAAACTACTCTGAGTACACAGCTTCTCCATCCCCTGGTGAGTCGTTAGCCTCTTTTGAGAGGGAGTCATGTTGATTAGATGCAGGAAGGTGTGACCTAGACTGAAACTGCTTAGGAATGAGACTCAAGGCTGCATTACAGGTGCTGGAAAGGTGAAATCTAAGCCCCCCACCCCTGTTTAGAGTGGGTTTTTCACATTTGACATAGATAGCTTCTTTTACTCCTCTCTCAATCCATCTATCTTCTCTGTCCAGAATGTGTACTTTGTCATCTTCAAAGGTGTATCCCTTGTCCTTCAGGTGTCGGTGGACTGCAGAGCCTTGGACTGACGAGGTGGCTCTCCTGTTGTGCCATGCGCTTGTGAAATTGTTGTTTAGTTTCCCTGATGTAACGATCTGGACAGTCCTCACTACGTTAGACTGCATAAACAATGCCACTAAGCTTCTGTTTGGGTGTTTTGTCTTTTGGATGGACCGGTTTCTGTCTGAGGGTGCTGTTGGGTTTAAAGTTTACTGGGATGTTGCGTTTGGAGAAGATTCTTCTAAGTTTCTCTGAGACTCCTGCCACGTATGGGATGACGGTGCCTTTGCGCCTGTTGTCCTTTTCTTTGCTGGTTGCTGCTTTGGATGCTTTTCCAGGCTTCTTTGTAGATTTCACAATGGCCCAGTGAGGGTATCTGCAGTTCTGGAGAGCTTTCTTGATGTGTTTCACAGTAGTTTCTGCTCATTAAGTAACAACGGACAGCTACAGCTTATAAACTTGACTCTCCCATATTCCAGTTAGAATTGACAAAGCTCGTCGGATGAGAAGCAAAACATCTTCAAGAAACCAAAGAAGTCCAGTTGCCTTCATTTGAACCCGTTGGGTTACCATGACCTGGATGACTGAGAACCTTCACCAGCATAAAGCTTGCAGATGTGCTGAATCTGTGGGGGGAGCAAACATTATCGTTTCCTCTGTGCTGCAGAAAACCTGACATATCTTGTTTAGAAGGTTTACAGCTACGTAACCTCCTTTTATAACTCTATATTTGAAAATGATGGAAAATAAATAACTAAATAAAGGGTGAACTAGCTGCCTGGATCTGATTTCTGGTGCAGAGTAGAAATGAGTTTAGCAATATGGAGCATACTTTACATAATATGTGTGTGATGCAGAGGTGTGACCAAGTCACTGCTTTGCAAGTCACAAATATGTCACAAGTCTTTCCAGTCAAGTCTCGAGTTAAGTCCAAGTCAAAGACAACCAAGTCCAAGTCGAGTCCAAGTTCTTAACTTTGAACTTTCAACTCATAATCAAGTAATCTGTCCAACTCCAATTTAATGACAATGATAATAAATAAATTCCAGAATTAAAGCTTCTTTTATTTGCTGAAACAAGCAGGAAGTGCAACTGAAACTGATTATAAACTAAGTGCTGCTGCATTTAGCCGTACAAGATCAAACCCAGAACGAAGAATAACTTATGGTTTTTGTCCGTGTCGTGCCACTTTTGTGCTAAAACATAAAAAATGCTCAAGTCATCATCAAGTCAACAGACGCAAGTCGATTCAAGTCGCAAGTCATTGGCGTTCAAGTCTGAGTCAAGTCGTAAGTCTTTATAGATGTTATCAAGTCAAGTTGGAAGTCATTAAAAATAATGACTCAAGTCTGACTCGAGTCCAAGTCATGTGTCTCGAGTCCACACCTCTGGTGTGATGTCACCTTAATATCATCTCTGAAAACTAATGAGCAGCTTTGTTATTGGTGCGGAGGAAATATAACTGGCATGAGCCCTACTCACCATTCATGCCTTTGTGAGGAACACAAGGTGAAGGAGGATGTCTGGATGCAGTGGCTAAAAGTGGCTCCAGAGGCTGCGCCCCCAGACGGGCCAGATGTTCTGCACTGAGATCTCCTGTACAAAAGCGAACCATGGACTGGCTGATGGATGAATTGATGTCCAACATGGCTGACCATTTAAAATGAGAAAGAAGAATTTGATGGGATGAGAGGACAAATATTAGTCACATTAAGCTGTTTATTTATACTAATTCTTCAAGTAAAAAGCATGCTGCAATATTTAGTGATAACTTTGGCATACTGATAAAAGTTATTGTGAGTGAGGGTTTGTGCTCTATAACTTTAGATGCCACACAGAAAATTTCTTGGGTCATGTAATCATTCGCAGCGGGTCCAGACAGGCTAGATGTTGTCATCATCAGTTTCTGTTACACAACCTGACTGAATTTTAAAACCCACGAGGCTGACCAAATTCTACGATGTTGCACAAAACATGTTTAAATTAAAAGTAATGTGTTGGCTGCAATTACAATACACTCATCCTTTTAAGTTAAAAATAATTAACAAGGGGCAAAATCCCATCTGTAATGCGGAATTGCAAAAATATCTATAACAAATAATTTCTCTGCAACTTTCATCAGTTTATCAAATTCTTACCATCAGCAAGCTCCGCTCCAAACACAATCGCCCGTGACCCTGACACCCCAATGCAGTGCAGGAGAGAGTCACAGCGTAGGCTGAAGTTTATTAGGGCAGCTTCCACCCCAACTTTGGCTAAGCCCAGCCAGAGTGCCACATAAAGGGGCCTGCTTTCCAAGAAGAGGGCCACCACATCCCCAGAGACCCATCCTTGGCTTCTTGCCCAGTGGGCTACAGAATTAGAGATCTCATCCAGTTGGGTAAAGGTCCACGTCTCCCCAGTGGCCTCATAGATAAGAGCTGGTTTGTTTGGATGGCGTTTTACAGTCTGGGCAAAAATGGAAAGTATATTGCTTCCGTTGCGCATGTAGCGCCATAAAGCCAGCTTCACTCTCAACAGCACATACAGGCCACTGACCAGGGTGGGAGGAGACAAGGAGAAGAGATCTGAGTATTCAAGATGCAGAGTCAGGAACAATACAACTTTATTTACATACAGTCAACTTACTTTAGGTCTCTCTTGGCAGTTCGTGCTGCAATATAGAAGTATTTCCAACTGCTTGTGCCCAGATACAACCCTAGGCCTGCTGCCAGACTCCAGGACCAGGACACCCCAACCAGACGCAGCAGTCCCACGGATCCCAGAGAGGCTGACACACTCGCTGCATTGTGCATTCTTGTCACGGAGTGAAGAAAAAGAGATGGGATTGTGCACAATAAAGGGCTTAAGCTAAAGCTGACATGGGCTCCACTTGGTGGGGTGAAACACTGCAGAGGAAACTGGTACACACAAGTACATCCACAACTTTGTATATAGTTTATAACTTTGTCTAAAGATAAGGAAATAAGAGTGGCTTTGGGCTAAGACCACTGATATAACACAACCTCACACGTGAGTAGTGAACGTTAACACACGTCACATAAGAAAATATAACGGTCTCAGTGCTTATTACTATGTTCAGGCTACACACAACTTACCTATGAGTCAATACTATGACGCGGTGTCACCTTTGACCCAGTTACCTCGACGGTGGGCACAGCGGTGCTGTTTTACTTTCACGTAGACCACAAACTTCTCTAACTGTCCTCCCGCCGCGGGAAAATGTCGAAGGATTCAGAGTAGCCAAGAGTTTACTGATAAGCAGCGTCGTAGCTGTCAAGTCGCTAAGAGTTTTCAACATTTAAACTGCACTTAAAACTGTGAATTAGCGAGTCTAGACGGCCGGTTTCCACAAAGTAGTTTCATAATTAGAGCTTGTACGACAGAAACAACAACACTACCAAAGAAAAAGTATAAAGTGCGGTGAGAATCGGGCTATACTCTGTACTCCATGTTGAAGAGTGCCACTGTCTCTCAAGCACCGCCCATCCCGGGTGTGAGGGGTCTTAATCGGCGCTTCTATTGGCTGATCTTTGCGTCCGTTAAGATTTTCTCGATTTTGATTGGACCAATTTAACCCTGCCCAAAGGAACAGCCAATCGAATAGTAGGTGGTCCGTGCTGAATGTAGGACAAATCACCAGGGCGCCGGTACAGACTACTAACGAAATGCAGTGACATGTGGTTAAGTTCTCTTCCGCACACTTTTAGCTACATGACCTCAGGATATTAGATAGTTAAATACTGACAAGATACAATACAATATAACAACAAAATAATGCGTTTTATAGTCTTTTTTTGTTTAACTAAAATGTTAAAGAAAGTAAAAAAAAATCTGTGAAAAATAAAATAAAAACTTTGGGAAAATGAGTCATTGCAGAGTGATGGTTGGTCTGCGGCTATCAACAAATGAGTCACTTGGCGTGGTGATGTTCACACGGCCACAGCAAAGCCTAGAGAGCATAGTCCTTCAGATGTATACCCAGGGGTCCAGGATCTGATTCCAGGAAGCCATACGCACACTCTGGAGAGTAAACCCCTTTTCCTGGTTATTGGGACCCCAGGTGAGCTGCTTCATGAGAATGTTAATCTATAATGTGGATGAAACATACAATATTCCAATTAGCAAATCTGCAAAATGAATTTAATTGACAAATTAATTGTTAGTTAATTAAAATACAAAAATGTGGTACACACAAAAAAGGGGCCCCAGCAGACACAGGACACCACAGTGACGGCAGCGAGTTGTACCAGCATCTCCACGTCCAATGAACAAAACATGGAGGAAGACTGTACATGATGAACACCGTGAGCTGAAGGTCTTCTGTAACAGTTCCTCGACTTCATTCTGGCCTTTACTAGGGGTATGCCACTCAGAATGTTGCAGAGCAGGGAAATGATAAGTGCAGTGAGGCCCAAACTTAAGAAGACCAGAACTAAATATTTGTCAACTGTAGACTGTGAATCCTGAATAGGCAAAAAACACCATGTGTATGGGGGTTGGGTAATGTAGTTACCAATGTTAAAAATAGGTAATAAAGCCAGCACAAGAGCAGATGTGGTCAAAAGTAGCACCACTTGCCATGCATGAGCCACTTTAAAGGAAAGATGGAGAAAGGGTCTATTGATGGCCACCCAGCGCTCAACGGCCATGGCACAGCCCAAAACTAAAGGGCACAAGCCAAAAAACACCATACTTGCTCCAAAGACATTACAGAAGTTCCCATTGGATTTTAATTCTACCATCTTATATCCCCTATTTATGTGTCCATATAATGCAAAGGCACCAAGGATCAGGTGACCTCCCAAATCAGCTAGAAGTAAAGCCACTGTTAGCAGAAGAAAAGTTGCTTTGGACTGGCCTCGAAATCTGGCACGGGTCTTGGTCAGGATTCCCAAAGCAGTGAGGTTAGAGATGGTGCCAAATATCATAGTGAGGCAGGACATGAGTAAACCTGAAAGCAGAGGGATTGGGGGGCTGATAGTGGATGAATTAGAATAATTGGTTCCAGGTGAAGTTACCAATGAGATCAAAGGTGCTGGTGTCATCTTCAGCGTGATCTATGGAAAATTAGAAGGTTGAATTTGAACATTAGAACAATCCAAACATTATTCCCACTTGCTTAATGGTTTTCTTAAACAGTGTACCTGTAATTCAACTATGTGTTCACAGCTAGTTGAAAGTCATCTGACAGTGAAGTGCAGAATTTAAACTTGAACTTGAAGATCTGCAACAAACAATGACGAGATTGAGTCTGTAAAATCTGCTGTCTTCACTTGGAAGACTGACAGTCTAAAGGGAGACTGGGCACGGCTGTAACAATGGGATAGCTTGACCAATCAGAAAAGATCTGTGGTGATATCATCACTACAGTCTGTGCCCACTTACAAAATGAGCACACTGGCCACACATCCTTGAGTTTCAAATGGTCTGTTCTGGAGTCAAAACAACATTATTCGGGTAAACAAGTAAGATTTTTCATCGCAAATATTCATTGCACAGAGTCCATTGTCTTTTAGACATAGCCGTCATTAAAATCAGGGATGCCACAGACATGTCTCCACCAATATTTATAATTGAGAGATTTGTCCACACCAACAATTTTAGCTGATAATTTAGGTCTGATTGTGTTGAACTCCTGCTGTGGTCATTTTCCCCAGAAACAATCTTTTACCAAATTCTATTATTAGTTTAATTTTATTTATTCTTTATTTAGCCTGGAAGGTTAGCTCACTGCCAACTTAAAAACTATAGCCAGTTTTCTTTAATACATGTATGTCGCATTTGATTTATAATATTCTTTTCTGTTTATACTTTAACTGTATAACCATGACCAAAACTACTTGTTTTTTATGGATATTTTTCTAAGAAATATTCTAAGTGGTTAAGTGGTTGTACCCCTTGTGCAGCAGTACCAGAACCAGAGTGAATGGGGTGTGTATGGGGAGCGTGAGTGGGTGTCTAGCGTTCATTTTTGTAAGTTTTAGGTTGTATGTGTGTGCGTGAGCATGAGGGAGGGAGTGTGTGACTGTGTCTGTGTATGACTGTATATGTCACGTGGGGTCTTGGACTCCTCCCCTCTCCTGGGACTTCTTGAGATGCAATACATCTTTGTCTCCTCTCCCCCTGCCACACCTGGTGTGGAGTGTGGTGCCTTGGTCTGCCTGAGTGTTCGTGGCTCCCCGGTCTGGGGGTTTAAGATTTTTGGCATCTGCCTGATCAATTCTGGTGTCTGCCTGGTGGGATCTGTTGGGTCCCCAGCGAGGCTGGCCGCCCCTGGGTCCCGGGTCGCTGGGTTCCGGGCTCGACCAGCTTGAGGGTGGGAGGCTGCGGGCGGGCCTGTTGGCTTGCTGCTGATATCTCCCGGGACTCTGCCGGCTGCTGGTTGTGGCCCCCCAGGGCGATCCTCTGCGCCTCTCGAGAGGGCGGCTGGGGCTTTTCTGGTTGCAGTCTCCCTAGGGTCCCTGTGCTCTGGGGCAGCTCCTGGATCCCTGGGACTTGGAAATCCCTCCATCTCCTACACATCTTTGGGGGGCAGATCTGTGGCCCCTCACACTCTTTATTCAACACATTCTCACACCCTAAGCGTCGGAAACAAACGCTTGGTCAGCCACCCTCCACGTCAGACCCCAGACGCCAAAAGTGCCCTTTTTCGTTACTTATGTGCGAAAAGGGGTTTTCCCTTTTGTAACTGCAGATCCCAATGCAGCGTAAAACCGACGTGATTAGATATCCGCTGATGCGGCACCGAACCAGCTCATTTAACCGCACCTAAACCTTAACGTTTCACTATTTATAAGCGTTTGTTTTTGACGCGGTGGGAGTGAGAACGTGTTGCATAGAGCCGGCTTTTAGAGCGATTGACACGTCACTAACGTGTTCGCTGGTAAGATTGTTAAGGTTAGGATAGGGGTGAGGGGAAGGTTAAATAAGAGGATAAGGTTAAATAAGAGGATAAGGTTAAATAAGAGGATAAGGTTAAGGTGAGGTACAATGAGCTTGTTTGGTGCCAGTGTAACGCTGCATTGGGATGCAACGGTAGCGGACATCCCATCGCTTCAGTTTTACGCTGCATTGGGATCTGCAGTCAAATAAGGGAAACCCCCTTTTCGCACATAAGTAACGAAAAAGGGCACTTTTGGCGTCAGGGGTCTGACGTGGAGGGTGGCTGACCAAGCGTTTGTTTTTGACGCGGTGGGAGTGAGAACGTGTTGCTTTATTGGACGCTCCTATAGAGAAGCCTTACATATACAAGTGCGTGTACACACACAGGTGCTCACATGGTGCTCTCATAAGTATGGACTTGGGCATGTTCAGCACATTCTTAAGGCTGTGGTTGGCACTAAATGCACTGTGATTTATTATCGGGATTGTTCAGTAAAACAGTGTTGATTTTATATTTCCTCATCAGGTTGATGCAGTGATAGCTTGCTCCTGTTGTGTTGTTGTGTGTTGTTTTTATTTTGTTCTCTTTCTGCAGAGCTAGAAACAAACTCTTGTTCATCATTGAATGTTTATTTTTGTGGACCCCCCCCCCCCCCCCTTCCTTTTGTCTCTTCCTTTCTCTTTCATCTCTGTCTCCGTGTCTGGTCGGAATTATAAAGCATTCAAAAAACAATAACAATAAAGTTTTAAGTATCAGGCGTGACATTAAAGCAGAAGCTTTGGTGTTCCACCTGAGAGTAAATCTGTAAGGCTTGTCACCAGCATTCAGACATTAATTCTGTTTGCTTCACAGCCAGACAGGACACGGGGAAAATAAATAAAAAAATAAAATAAATAAATAAATAAATAAATAAATAAATAAATACATTTTCTAATTGCTGCCGTGGCCCAGAGGTTAAGTGCATGCCTCATAACCAGGTTTATGGGATAAATCTTGACTTTTGACTTTTATTTATTGAATGAAGGTCAGATTCTGAACAGCTGTCAGTACGCTGTGGTGTGTACTGGAATTAAACATTCAAACAGACAAATACTTTAACATAAATATTTAGTAATCATTGTCCCCAGCGATCTTTAAGCCATATTCTTGCTTATGTTTATCATCCCCAGCAATATTAAAAACAAACTGACAACCTTGGTTGTAGATACAATTGTTTCACTTACATAAGCTCAAGTGGGCTAGTAGTTTAATTAGATGTGTTGCAGCTTCGAAGCAAAATGCTAAACGGTTAGCATGGCCAGCGGAAGGTTGTAGGTGGTCTGAAAAAGGTTTCTGCACCTTAATCCGTCCACTTATCAGGTGACCTCGCCAGGACAGGGGGTGGTTAAACAGGGTTTAAAGTTTATGCCTTGGCAGGGGTGAAGTGGTGCACCCCTTAAAAATGTTAAAATAAAAAATAAAAATACACCAGAGGTCCATCTGACCCCATTAACAGTGTGGTAGGGGTAAAAACCCACATTTCTTAAGTTTTTTGTTAATTGTTCCACAAATCTCAAGATGTTCAAATGCAAATAGGCAACAGTGGCAGAGGAGTTAATTGCCCACCCCGCAATCGGATGGTTGCAGGTTCAAACCCCATCTGTCGCAGTTGTTGTGTCCTTGGGCAAGACAGTTAATTAGCCTTGCCTGCCGGTAGGCAGTGATAGATGGGACCAGTAGCGCCAGTGATGCCTCATTTCTGTCAGTGAGCCCCAGGGCAGCTGTAGCTACAAAATAGCTCATCACCACCAGAGGGTGAATCTGTGTGTGGGTGAATGACTGATTGGGTTGTAAAGTGCCTTGGGGGGGTTGTAGAACCCTAGAATGTACTATATAAATACAAGCCACTTACCAGTTTTTCAAATTAAAATGTTTCAGGCTAAAACACACACACAACATACTTTAAATTACCCTTAAATTATTTTCTTATGTATTTTTATGTATTTTATTGCTTTTATTTTTACTGAATTGAATGTAGACTTCTATTTATTATTTTGTCATCTCAAAAGTTTAAGGCTCCTTCCTTATTATTGATTAAAGTGCTTCTGTACATTTATTAGTGTGGATTAGACCTTAAGATCTTTGAAAGGCGCTTGAAATAAAATGTATTATTATTATTATTATTATTATTATTATTATTATTATTATTATTAATGCTACATCCATCCATCTGATTTAGGTTACAACACACCTCTTTGAATTTGGCCATAATTTAAAGATGCATTATGTAGAAATTGAGTAAAAATGACATCCTGCGGTAAGTTTTGGTTACTGCAACCACTTTAAACAACTCTGGAGCTTTTTGCCGGCTGTTGTCAACTTACAATTGTCGTAACTGCGGTATCAGCTCGCAGGAGACACGGCAACCCCACATTAACTGTTGGTAAACAGTAGTGACGTCCCTCCTTAATTTGTTTTGAAAGGGCAAAAACTGACAACTATCGCAGCCAGCTGGATATGAAATCTGTTTCAGTATAACCTTCCTTCCAGAATGACTGACACATTAGACTATTTTGGGATTTTCTCACTGTAAAATTCTCACTATATTCTTACATACTGCACCTTTAACTTATGGGCCATTCCCATCTGTACCGGGTCGGCCCGGGCCGGGTAGCGTAGGTTGTTTACATATCTGGGTGGCCTGGTATTTTTCCGGGCCAACCAAGGCTCATTCTCAGCCCTCTTGTCGAGGGGGTCTGCTTCAGGCCGACCAGGGCCAACACACCCACTGCTGACAGCAAATTCACACCTTCCATTAGAGCAAGCCTCTGATTGGTGGGTAGAATCAGCCCACATGGGCTTAAGGCAAGGATGTGTGGAATCAACCGGGCCAGGCTGGGGCCGACTGGGGCTACCCGGCCCGGGCCGACCAGGTACAGATGGGAATGGCCCATAAGCTGAGAGATGGTGTGGTAGAAGTGTGGTTTGTGTGATTTTTAGCAGACAAGTTCGGCACTACATGTTTATATCTGAAACCTCTAGCACAAAGAACCGCTGAGTTACATTTGCTCAAACAAACCAAAAGTGTTACCGTCATCCCCAGTCTCCCTACAGAATCAAAGTAAACTTAATAAATGCATTACTTTTCAAAAGGCATTTCTCAAACCCTAGTTAGGTACGATGCAACAAACTACATGCAAAATGTGTTTTGTGTCATTTTCCTTCCGGAAGAGTACCTTTCAACAAGGCAGCCTCAGAGCAGTAATGTTGACAGACTTGATCTGGAGAAAGATTAAAAGAAGGCAGGTAAAAAGCCTCAATCTGAGAACTCATATGCCTGGAAGAAAGCAAAAAATAAAAGCTACTTGTGATAAAATATGAACAGAGACAGACAGTTTTGATTGAATCTGTTCACTTTTTATTTTTTTATTGAGGTTTAAAATCTTCTGTTGAAAAAGGAAAAAAAAAGCTTCAGGAGAAACAAATTAAAAGTTGTTGCTTCCCTTTTTAATTTTTGATATCTTTGTTAATCTTTTTTCATGCACCTACATAAAGTGAAGCAAATTTCCTAAAAATACAGAAGGACTTTGTAGGACCCAAGGATTATCATTTATTTTATTTTATTTTATTAATCCTTTATCTAACCAGCAAGGTCCCATGGAGATTAAAAACCTCATTTTCAAGGGAGTCCTGGCTCAGAGGCAGCAAAAGACACGGTTACAAAGTTTTTCACGTTAGCGCAGCCCTCCCATAGTTTCACCTCCAGTCAGAGCGTGTACTAGCTTGTTCTTTTTGCCTATGACAGTTTATCATGACTGTAATCTTCCTAGAAAGGAGTGTACCAATGTTGGTCGTCCAAGTCATGAATAATCGTAAATAAATGTTGTCAATTATTAATAAAACTTACCTTCAGACAAGAGTGGATGAGCGGTTTTCAGATAGTTCAGGATAAACGAGAGGAGATGATGTGCTGCCGTGTCTGTGCCAAGTCAGTTATCACTGTTTCCTGCAGTCATTTGCTTAATGTTCCCCTCCCTTTGTTTCTGTTTAGCATCAGACAGTTTCACTTTCTCCGTGGTCATGTTTCCTCCTTTCCTCGCACTGATGTAGTGCTATTGCCTCCCACATTCTCGTTAGCTGAACGGGTTCCTTTAATCTATCGATCCCTCCTGCTGATCCTCTGGAGCAAAGTGACTACCAGCTTTGATCAACTGTTTGCTAAATGGCAAACATATAGTCAGGAATGACCCTTTCTTTTCCTTCAGGTTCAGACATGGTTCCAGTTTTCCAAAAGCAGAGAGATTCACAGAGGATTTAGCAGAGAAGATCAGTTTCCATTGCTGATAGAAATAAAATCAGCTGTCATCAGAATCATTTGAGAGAGCACGACTCTAAACTGTTGCCTTTAGGCTTTGCTGGCATACAATCCCCCTGACATGTTACAGTTTTTGTAGTACGGTCAAAAAGCCATTTGACAATTGATATGAACTTTTTTCAAGAGCATTTTAAGATTAAACTTTTCCTTCAAACACAAAATGACCTGTTCTAAATCCAAATTTTATCGACATCTTCTTGGAGATCATCTTGAATCTTGCATAAACAGGAAGTGGCTTCATTTCTGCTGCAAGCTGTTTCAACCCCACTGTAAGAAGTAGTTTGTAACCTGAGTAGCAGTAAATGTAAGGTGCATTGTATTTATTTGCAGAAAACATAAAAGCAAGTAATAGAAAAAGTTTAAATCTGTCTCACAAATAAAATGTTAGCATAATGAAGTCAAAATGTGAGCTAAACATTATTTTACAGTGCTATAAAGAGTTGCATAACTGCATAATTATCAAAATGACACCTTAAAACATGTTACAACAGAGTAAACAGAGCTTTTTAATACAGTTATTAGCAGAAATGCTGACCAGGACACATAAATATAAACATGTCTCATAAAGGGTCATAGTTTCAGTCATATTTACATTGAAACAATAGAAAAATGTTTTTTCTTTGACTGATTTTAGTACCTGAGTGAAACAACGTGTGACCTGATTAAACAGGTGCTTAAACTGTTTTTGGACATCATAATGAGTACAGATTTTCTGTATTTAAAGATGCTGATGTTCAGTAAATTAGTTTTTATGAACAGATTCACACAAATGTTCATATGAAGTCTTTACAACAGATAAACGCAGATCTTAAAAGAACCAGTCAAATTACAGTGTTGCTGCCTTTTGTCTCAAGCCACGGTTCGTCCTAAATGTGGGACTCCCCTGTGTCCTGGGTACTCTTGGATGCCTAATTTAAACAAACAAAAACAAAGGAAGCAGAGGAAGTTCAATCAGTGTTTGAAACACTGCTAATGGACTGATTAAGACCCTCAGGAAGAAGACCCATGTCAATGAAGATGAAATATTGCTTACATTTGCTTTACTGGAGTGGGAGAAACTAAACTCTGAATATTTCCTCTTCCGCGGAGCAGAGAGTCCACAAAGAATATTTGCATATTCGTCCCTCACCTGGAATAAAAATGCAGACTGAGGTGTGATACTTTCAGACATAACAGAGCCATTCTCTCAAATGTTTGACTTTTGCAGTATTGTAACCCACCTGCTTGGAAAACAGACAGTGCATGACAAACAGCATGAAGCCTTGAAGGCTGCCAAATATGGTGAACAGGTAGGATATGGTTATTGAGTTTGTCTCAAACTGAAAACACCCAAAGATCCACATTGTGCCCAGAACGCACAGCTGTGCCACTGCAGTAACGATGAACGCCCTGCAGGAGGCAGCAAATGCACACAGGTCAGCTCTGAGACCGGTCCAGCACGTATGTAACCAAAGACGATAGTGGTCACACTTTTTCCACTTTGTAGGCAAGGAACGAAAATAATATTTATTTATTTTGCTCAATAATTGGATCTTACTTTATTTTCTGCAAGTTGTTCAGGTCTGGGTTTAAACTTGTTAACTTCTGTGCCAGTTTCCATGCAGTGATGAGAAAAAATAAAATGTTTACCTGGAAGAAAACAGTACAACGTAAACAATAAAAGGAATCTAGTTTGATTTCTTAGATACCAATGAATTAAAATGTGTTTTTACTTAAAGTCTTACAAGGATGATGACGCAGGCAGGTCCAAAGAAACTCCAGATGGAACTCAGGTTTAGCCAGCAACTAAAGTGCATGAAAAATGATTTTTTTAAACAACATATTGATTACAATTTGAAATCACGACTAAAATTAAGAATGAATATTATCAATATTAGCAAAGAGAATGCAGAAAACGTACTATCTGTTGGTGCCATAGCCCTTAGAGTTAACGGATGCAGAGATAGCAACAACTACAGCTGGGACTCCATAGCCTCCTGCCATCATGTAGAAAGTTTTAAAGTGGGTGTTAAAGACCAGGACTACCATCCTGAAGAGCTGGACACCTTCCAGACACATCCAGCAAAATGCTGACAGGTAGAAGAAATGCAACAGCCCTGCTACAACCGCACATCCAACCTGTTGAGGAAAGAAATGAAATAAAAATCAACATGTCTAAGAATTGTGGCACAGCTTCTCTGTAGAAAAACAAAGAAGTCAGGATGAACTCACTTTTTATTAGTAAAAAATTATTCTAGCCATTTAAGCAACAAGCTGAATTTACCCTGTTCTCTGTCTTGGAGATGCCTGCGAGAAAGATGGCGTTAGCGATGAAGAGGCTGATGCAGAGATGCAGGTGGATGGTGGTTCTTGGACTCTGAATGGAGCGGATCATGGAAAACGTCAGAATGCAGATGAAAAGACAAATCAGTGAGAGGGACAGGCCCACCCAGGTGACCAACTGCAACTCAAACTGAGCCTAACGAGAGGGAAAAATAGTTTTAATATACTTCAACTGAGTCTTGAGCATTATTTTTTCAAACATAATTAATGAACCTCTATTTCATAGAGAGCCATGAGCACAGCAAAGCTGCTGAGGTGGTCACAGGAACACGTGGTGTATTCTGAGTTGGACTCCTCAGTGCTGCAGCCTCGAGAGGACCATGTTCCCCCATCTTCTGAAGAATCCCAGAACACACAGGTGTGTAGGAATCCATTTGACTGTGAGGCGAACGTAAAACACCACAGACAAACACACTGATTTAGATTCATGTAAACAAAGGTGAGTAAAATCAAACAAAGGAATTTTCCCTTCACCTGTTCAAGGTGGTACATCTTTATTTTGACAGGCTCTTTGAGGAGGTTGGTGTCTCTGTTACTGACAGTGACTGTCACCACTTTGGAGTTTATTTTAAAGCTCTGGTTCTCATGCGGTTTCATTCCAGTAAAGAAGTCATCTGCTGATTTTTCCAGGTTAGAATAAGTCAGCAAAGACACGGTTGTGAATCCTTTAACGGCAGAAAAACACAGGGTTGGTGTTTGAAATCAACAGGGTTCAATGTACTATTTAGAAGCATGATCATCACCGGGGTGATGGGAGGGATCTCCAGCAGCGACCTCCATGTCCACCTCCAACTGAGCGTGCTTAGTTGATAATTTTTTCCTCCCTTGGGGTATGATCGAGCCGTTGTAAACCACCAACTCTAGTTCTGGTGGTAGATAAGTTTCAGTTAACACACTGCTGGGACTAACATCTACCTGTATGGTTTACTAGATAAAGGATAACTGTACTAATGTAACTGTAACTGGGGAGACACTGTTGTAACTCAGAAACTAATAAATCATCTAAACTGTGAACGTTTTTGGACAAACACCAGCTTAATCACTAGACACGTATTTCTTTTGTCAACCTGTGTGAGAGGAGGACATTTTAGTTCCTGGAGTTGCAACGAAAGGTCCAGAGAGCCTCAGAGCTTCCTCCACCAAGGCCAGAAATGTTGAGACCTTTCTGTTGTCTCTGAGGACTTCACTGGACAGGAGCTTGTCGATAATAGACTGGAGAACCTAAAACCATAAGAGGAGAGGAGCAGGAGTTGCACAAGTGTGTGAAACAAGAAAAAACAAACCAAACCAAGTTAAACCAAGAGCACTCTAGAAAGAGGTGTATCTAAACACCATCTTACCTGAGTGGGCTGACCTTCTTGCTTCTTTACTGAAGAAAGGTCCGTAATAAGGATTCATACCTTTAAAAGGTGCTCCCCATCCAGCTCCTTTGGGTCCTCGCTCTCTGAGAGGTCCACACAACCTTCTTTCAGTTGCTTCACATGATCTTGTACAATGTTATGTTTCTGAAAAGAAATGATTTGTGTGAATGTGCAAAAGAGTACAGACATCTCTTTAGAGTTAAAACTGTTGCTTATGGGACTTTACCTCTCCCAGAATGTCCACAACTTTGAAAACATCGCAGTCTAATTCTGAAGAAAGAGAGTCAGAATCGATTATCGTGCTTCATGACAGCTGGAATAGGAGCTGGTCCGTACTCACCAACACAGGGAGACCTTCTCCGGCCGTAGTTGGTGAAACCGGCATGGCAGGCGCAGAAGTGGCCACCATCTTCGACGCTACAGGTTCCATTCCTACAGATCGTCTCATCAATCTTACAAACGTCTATAATGGAAACAGGTTCAGGTTACAGCCGGGTTTAGTTGGTCAACCATAATCTGTTATTTAACATTTGGAGCAGTTCCACTATAAATTACCTTAAGAACTGTAAGTTTATGAATTTGGAGTCATTAAAGCTCTTACCCTCACATTGTTCCACCTTTCCAGTGTAGTTTAGTTCGCCAGATCTCAACCCAAAGCCGACATTGCATTTGCAGTAAGAGCTGCCGTGTGTGTTGACACACGATGAGTTCGGACCACAAACCGAGCCCTCTTCACATTCATTAATATCTGTAGGAGCAGAGAGAAGAGATGTAGAAATAAGTCAGGAGGCAAACTAAAACTCAGCCATTGGGCCACTGTGATAGACATTTTACCGTTGCATGAAGCGTTGTTACCAGGATGGAAAGTTTCCATCCTAGTGGAGGAGACGAAGCCCTCGTTACAAAAGCAGATATAACTGGAAATTGTGTTTTTACAACTGGCATTAGGTCCACAGATGCTTGCAGTTAAACATTCATCTATATCTTCAAAGATAAGGGAAAATGCTTGTGTAAGAAGAATATTTATCATTTCTATTTCTTTTTATATTTAGCCACGGAGAAAGCCCTGTAAAGAAGACGTACCTTTACATTTTTCAGGTGAATCAGCTTTAAATTTCTCATTCCTTGATGACTTAAAACCTTCAGCACACTGGCAGTAGTAGCTGCCGATTGTGTTAAAACATTTTGCATTGTCTCCACATAGTCCATTATCAGCACACTCATCGTCATCTACGGTAAAAAAAAACAGGAATGAGGAATTAATTCAAGTACAATGTTTACTTTTAAAATATTTCTTAGTGAGAATGCACATATTACACTTTGCATAATAATATTTTTCACATACCAACACACTCGTTGTTCTGTTTGTTAAATCCATCATTGCAGCCCTTTGTTTGGACTGTGAGCAGTAAAAGGATAAAAGCTGAAATATGAACAGAAAAGTGTCATTTTGCTGAAGCCATGATCATTTTATCAAACTTTACATCATGCACATGTGAATAAAGACAATAAAATGAAACGTTTTCACTTGGCTCAGTTGGAAAAGTCAGACCTGTTGGGTTCTAAAAAGGGCCTACACACACAGAGAGAAGACTAAATCCCATATTTTTGTCTCCATTTCCTCAGATTGTTTCAACACCATCTGCACCGTCACTCAGAATGATCCACACATGGTGTCCAGAGGAGCGTTCTTCCTGTGTGTGAGGAAACATCAGCTGGCATGCACAGAATAACATAATGTAGGTGAAGGCTCTCAGAGTCATCCCTCTGGGGTTTCAGAATGATCAGGTGGGTGTGATGCCCAGCATAAAGACAGGAAGGAAGTGTGGTTTTCACTGATTTATCTAGTCACTTGGATAAAATCCTTAGAAAAACCAACAAAAACAGATGGTGGCGAATAAATGCTGATCTCGAACATGAATATGTTTGTTTTGGGATGGGAATTGTTTTAGTGTTTTGAGCTGATAACAAAGGCACTTTTAGGACTGTGTTGCTACGCTCTGGGGCAGCTCCCGGATCTCTGGGACTTGGAGCTCCCTCCGTCTCCTGCACATCTTTAGGGGGCAGATCTGTGGCCCCTCACACTCTCTATTGGACGCTCCTATAGAGAAACCTTACAAAAAGAAACACGTGTACACACAGGTGCTCACATGGTGCTCTCATACGTATGGACTTGGGCATGTTCAACACAGGTCTTAAGGCTGTGGTTGGCACTTAATGCACTGTGATTTATTATCATGTGATTGTTCAGTTAAACAATGTTGATTTTATATTTCTTCATCAGGTTGACGCAGTGATAGCTTGCTCCTGTTGTGTTGTTGTGTGTCCCATTTTTTTTTCTCTCTTTCTGCAGGTCTAGAAGCAGATTCTCGTTCATTATTGTTTATTTTTGTGGACACCCCCCCCCCCCCCCCTTCTCTTTCACCTCTGTCTCCGTGTCTGGTCGGAATTAAAAAGCATTCAAAAACAATAACAATAAAGTTTTAAGTATCAGGCATGATCTTAAAGCAGAAGCTTTGATGCTCCACCTGAGAGTAAATCTGTAAGGCTTGTCACCATCATTCAGACATCAATTCTGTTTGCTTCACAGCCAGACAGGACACACACACACAAAAAGGACTGTGTTGCTATATGTTGTTGCCATGACAGCAGTGGAAATGTTTAGCCAACTTGGATTTTTATCAAGATGCTGCGCGGATTTTCAGAAACCATATGTGTCAGTGTTGTTTCCTGTTACTGGTGGCATAGGAACCCACATCAGCTGAACTGTGGTCTTAATCTTCCTTAAAAAATTATGTGGTACACCAACAGAAAAACTCATAGTTTGAAAATACTGCTTAAAAATGAACGGTTCTTTGTTCACTAGCAGATAAAACAAAAGCAGTGGGTTCTCTCTTTTTGCTCCGTTCGGTGCTAATATTGTATCTGAGCTCTTTGTCAGACTCAAGCAGTGGCACACTTGCAGCTGTTATCCTCTATTACATTTCTCCAGAGTGTGTATGGCATCAATCACTGGTTATTTCTCTTGGAAAGCTAATAAAGCAAAAACTGTGAAACAGACACAAACGGATCCCGCTAGTGAAGGTTTAGTCCTGCTGTTGCGTGTTGTCTTTACAAAATCACAAAGCAATTGTGATAAATGACTCAAACAGATGATTTTCCATTTGGGCTACTGTGCAAATTGATGACAGATGTGACTCACCCAGTTTCAGGAGGGTCCACTTGTCTGCCATGGTGAAGAGGTAAAACAAGTCCAAACAACCAGAGAACCGGCCACCTTCAGAAGAGCCGTGCTCGTCTTTTCCTCCCCAACTTTTCATTCACTTTCTCAGAAAAAAATAAACAAACAAGCACAGAAAAAAAGAACAAATTCCACTAAAAAGTCCAACCTGTTGAAATCTTATCCAACTCTGACTGACTTTGTCTGAGTTTCCTCCCAGACTGTGTCTCTGAGTCCTCAGCCAATCTCAGTCTCCTCTTTCTGCTCATGGTTCATATGCTGGATTAGAGCAGAGTGAGTGCCCACCCACCCCTTGACACACGCCTCTGACACTTTATAACTAGCAAGTTTTATTTAGAAAATACTGATCTTGTTGGGGCGGGGTCAGTGAGAGAGAGAGGAAGTTCTGACAGCTCACAGAAATCTACAGTTTTAACAGAAAAGCATTAAAATTACTGTTTAATTTCTGAGATTTCTTTAAATGCCTCTCTCTCATTGGGCCCTGCTTATGGGACACACAGGGTTAAAAGAGTTTAGACTTCCAGCTGCTCATTGTTCTAGAGAGTCCCGGCTTCTGGCGTAGCCTCCCAAAGGCAAAAGCCTGCTGACTATGACGATGACACATATAGAGCTTTAGCCTTAGACTGCTTCTGACTGAGACAATGCAACAATACTGTTACAAATAAAAAAAAGAAAAGCTTACAGAAGATAAACAAAGAAGCTATTTAATATTGGGTTGTTTTAGTTCTCCTTTTATGGTAGAAAATGCATTTTTCACAAAATCTAACTGAATGAGGTCATATGTTGTAAACACAATGAGAGAATCTTTATGTAATAATATCAAGTCATCATCATGAAAGACTTAGAAATACCATAATCCCTAAGTAGAATATTAGACATCACATACAAAACTAAAATAAACAATTCTCATTTCATGTCTAAATGCACAAACAGCAAAAATGGTGGCTGTGATTTGGGGATGACTCTTCATGCATGCTCAAGCATGAGAAGGTTGTTCTGCAGCAGCATAACTTTTTAAATGCATCTTTGACTAGATTGTATGAGCATAATGCATGACACAGTTTTCTTCTGATGGAATTAAAATACTTTCCTCTTTTGTGCTGAGCTGTAGCATTAACCTGTGAGCACACAAACAAGTCAAAAATAAAGTTAAGCAATTTCAAGAGACTTGGGAGAGAGAAAAACAAGGGGCACTGCATTTCAAGTACAAATTAGTTCAGCTGTAAATTTCTTATCACATAATATAAAGTGTCAATATCAAAAGCAGTTCTGGAGCCTATAGTCTACTAGCACACAGTGGAAACATTTGCCAGTGGCGTTACTTCCTCAAAGAAGCAACACAACAAACGCAGAGTTAACACCGTTGCTATTATGAGCTGCTGTGAAACATAGCAATTTTTTTTCTTTACATATCAATGAAACAGGGTTACACAGCTGCGACATGCTTTTGCAAAGACTTGTGCAGGTTAGCATGAACACAGTTAAAATGGTAATTTGCTGTAAGTTGCTTATAGAAAATAGCTGATTTAAACTTTGTTTACAATATAAATGGGAAACCTTCTTCATACTCTAGTGTCACCTCTGGAGTACCACAGGGTTCAATGCTTGAAATAATCATGGCAGTAGTAGCTTGATAAAATCTATAAAGACCTACAACTTGACTCGGACTTGAACACCAATGACTTGCAACTTGAATAGACTTGCATCTGTTGACTTGATGATGACTTGAGCATATTAGATATTTTTTGACAAAAGTGGCACGACATGGACAAAATTTATAAATCATTCTTCTTTTTGGGTGAGATCTTGTACGGCTAAATGCAGCAGCACTTTGTTTATAATCAGTTTCAGTTTCTGCTTGTTTGAGCAAATAAATGAAGCTTTAAGAAGCTTCAATTCTGGAATTTATTTATTATCATTGTCATTAAATTGAAACTGGACAGATGACTTGATCAGGACTTGAAAATTCAAAGTTAAGGACTTGGAGTTCCACATCATTGACTTTGGACTCAACTTGGACTTGGTTGTCTTTGACTTGAACTTGACTTGAGACTTGACTGGAAAAACTTGTGACTTACTTGTGACTTGCAAAGCAGTGACTTGGTCACACCTCTGCAAGATACTGTATAATGCTTTGCGTTTTGTGTTTACACTTTTACATGAAAGTTCTCCTATTCAATCTGTGGCAGAGCGCCAGAGGGGAGGGGCTGTTGGCAGCCCGACGATGTGCACCAATTGACAATGAGGATGATTATAAGGACGCCCACATCCCCAGCAATCAGTGACAACCGACTTTGACCATACAACAGCCGGGACACGACATGGCACCCCCGCTGGTCGCAGTGCTGGGCCAGATGTTGGTGGAGATGGCGCAACTCAACCGCGGGTCGGCAGTGCGCTGTACTCAACAGATGGAGGGCCTGATATGCGGAGCAGTAGATGTCGATCCTGCAACTGTTGGTGGATCAGACTGGTGGGGGGTGCCGCAACCACCACACCAGGTGGCCTGCCCACCATCCTGCGGGCATCCTGCACCATATCTGAGGCTGTCGCAGATGTGTACCGCTGGCCAGTGGAGAAGTGAGATCTTTGCCTACTTCCCATGCTGACAGGAGAAGCGCAGGCTGAGCCTACCTGCATGTCCCGCAGCTACAGGGACGTTAAGCGTGCCATACTGGACCAGTCTGGATGCACGGCGGAGGACTACCAATGCAGATTCAGAGGGCCAGGCTGGGAACGGGAGACCGACCGCTCACCTTTGCGCAGCAGCTCCGGGATGCAGCGTGTCGATGTCTCCATCCGGGCTAGCCTGAAGAGAAGCAGGACATACTGGACACGCTGGTCCTAAAACAGTTCATCGATACGATGCCAAGCAGGACCAGGGAGTGCATTCAGTGTCACCGACCCACGGCTGTGAAGGCCACGGTGACTCTGACTGAGGACCACCTAGCGGGCCAGGGATGGGAGAATGTGTCAGGATGGCCGACCCCAGCACCACAATGACTTTGACCTCCTGGCGCAGGAGGGGGACCCGAAGGCACGATGGTGCGGCAGGACGACTCTTAGCGCAGAACCACCACCCCTCAGATTCTGGAATTGCAGCGAGATAGGACATAGACCGACAGATTGCCCCATGATGGAGACTGACTACGTGACCCGAGTGAGTGGATCAACCAGCTCAGACCAACAGGTCACTGGCATGAAGGCGAGAAGGCAAGAGGCGTGGTGGAACCCAGTAGAGAGACGATCTGGACCCAACTGGTGGTGGGGGCCCAGCTGGTCAGCAGCGAATACTTTCCTGGCTCTGGGGGAGGGGGAGTCAGCCAGACCAGAGACGTTCCCAGTAAGCGGTGGAGGGGTGTAGCTGAGCGTAGGAGGAGAGGGGCCATTGGCAGCCCAACAATGTGCACCAGCAGTGGCGGCTGGCCAGTAGAGGGCGATAGGGCGCCGCCCTCCCAGTTTTCCCCAGTGTTTTTAATTTTTATTTAAAAAAATAAGTAAATTAAATTAACAATAATCACATATTCTAAGTTAATTGTGTGTTTTGTAACAAAAATAAATCATATATATAAATTTCTATATTGGTCTTTGCCGGTCTCTGCCGGTCTGAGCGGTGGAGGCTGTAGGCTGTTTTTGAATCGCCCAAACAGGACGGGACCAGCCGTCCAATTGCTGACAAGAAAATCAAAGGGTAGGAATGGGAATGTATCCAATCAGCGTCGACGTTGTTTCAGAAGCATGATGGGCTATAGAGCTACGCCAAAGGTTTCGTTGGTGTTCGGTAGAACTCGGCAGAGTCGTTTTTGGTCATGATGCGATGTAACTTGGACGCCGCCAGTGACTACAACCAGCATGGATACCGGATCTCAGCAGCCACTGAATTCAGTTCGGTCTCTTCTCCAGTATCCGTTCGAGAGGAGAACTATGGTAGAAAAACTTAATGTCAAAGAGCTTGGACCAGATCAGCCCGACGTAAAGATAAGCCAGCAGGAGGAGGAGAGAGGTAAACTGTACACACGAGGCTTCTGGGAAGGCTTGGCTAGCTAGATGCAATCACGCTAATGCGTTATTTTGCTTTCCGTGTTTGTTATTCAAAACGACTGTGACAGATGAGGCATGGATTGAGTCAGGAGTTACGGACATGAAACATTTGTCTGAGAAGGTGAAGAAACATGAGTCATCCCGGGCACACATGGACAACACGAAGAAGCTAGCTATGCTAGGCAGAGCTAACATTGCCATGCAGCTAGAGACGAGGGACACAGGCTTGCAGTGAAGAAACACAATGAAGAAGTGGATCAGAACCGGCACATTTTGTCCAAGAGAGAGATGTCAACACAGTGTATGAGCACAAGGATGACCTCCTCAGATGTTTCCAGATGATCAGAGACTCGGATGACTTTGATCCAATCACTGAGAGAGAGGCAGGAGGCTTTGTGAAAATGCTGGAGGAAGAAGATCTCGGCTTTCTGCTGGCATTGTGTCACAAGATCATGCCACATGTGGACATGCTGTTCAACCAGCTGCAGAAGAGGAACAATGACTCTGTCTACATCACAGGGGTCATCCAGAGCTTCACCAACAGTATGCAAAAGATCAGGTAAATACTTGTTTATTTAATATTATTGTGATGAAATTCTCCAGTATGTTAGTTTCACAAACAGTAATGTGGATGTGGACCATATATGGTCATGTTATTTTATGTGCAATTTAATACAGTATTTTTCAACCTTGGTCCGCAAGGCAGCGTGCCAATAGTCAGACACACGTGGATTAATCCCTTTGTCCAATAATGTAAGACAGGAAATAAAAGAGCTGTGCTTAATTCAGGAAATAGTGAAGTTGTGCACAAAGCTCAGAAAGCACAAGTTTGTTTAAAAAAAAAAAATAGCACAGCCCCACCAAAAATATTTTTCACCAGCCGCCACTGCGCACCAGTTGTCAATTGACAATCAGCTGGAGGATGATTACAATGGCCGACTCTGTAGGAGGAGGAGAATGAAAGGAGCAGACGTTTGGAGCCTGTGTGGCTTAGAGTCTGCTGAGGAGCATGACAAGTTTGTGATTCCCTGAATGGGTTAATAAAGTTGTGTGGCAGTGAACGTTGTGTTGGGTTGTGTATGTGCGTGCCCCAGAGTAGCTGAGACTGCTACACCCTCTAAATGTTGTGGGGGGCTGACGGTGATGTTCTCTAAATGGCAGCCTTGCTGATTTGGGGAAATTCTGCTCCTTCCTCTTGCCCTGCTCCAACCTCATGTGATTGCTGGATTGACAACTGGAAATCGACTGTG